GGTGTTAAGTGTGTATGAAAATTGAAATTATAAGATTAAGATTATCGAGCGCGTTCATGAGAATTCTGAAGTTCTGATCAGAACCTCATGTAGACCTGGTAGGGAATCTACATGGAGGTTCTTCCATTCCGGACTCGTKACATCTATGTTCTTCGTAAGATATTCTAACTCTCAATATCTTGGACCTCTTACGATCCTCGGACCTCTTACGATGGATCCTATGATACATACATAGGAAGTGTACCTTACGATAGGTACGTAGGAATGGTATGATCCTTCATTCCTTTCTTCGGAGCTTCGTATCGTACGTAACGATTCATCGGTACGTTGCATGGATACATATCCTAGTAATTGGTAAATAAGTCGTAATAGTAGTGAATAATGATGTTTGAACTGTTGTCTCAGCTTTCCAATAGATTTCAGCATTAGGAACGTTTCAAATGTTTACTAACGCTAGCATTACTAACGACACTCAGGAAAATTTTTGTGAACGTTTAGCTTTTTTTCCATACTAACGTTTTTCTAACGTTCTAACAAACGTTTTGGTTTGTAACATTTTTAGGAACGTAACGTTTTACACAAAACCTTACGTTACACAACACTAAAAAAGACTACCTCCATCCATTTGACTTTCTCAGCATCTACATATCAAACATAAAATCCATCAATGTTGATAATTTCAGAATCTTGGTACCCATTTTTCAGTTTCACAAATTTGAATGTACACATGGCTCCACCATTTGCTTTTGACTTTTCAACATACAATTTACGAAGCATTGTGCATTGGATCTATCCTTCTTTTGGAAGATTTGTTTATACCTGCAACAATGTCAGCATCTGATGAAATATTTTTTTGACAATAGAGAGTCTCCTCCCACAGGTTTGAGTTGATTGAAGTCGCCTGCAAAGACAGTGGTAGATTTCTATACAAATGATATGATGGCTTGTCACATAACAAGTTGAGATACTCATTCAATGTTTCCAACTGTTTGATGCTACTAGCAAATGATATTTTGTCAACAATGAGTAGGCAAGTCTCATCTTCGCATGCATCATCCTGTGTAACATTCTTGGATCTGTTACAATTAAGACGGCAAGCTTTATGTGTTGTTTCCCCACCATTGATATTAACTGCTGCTGTTCCAGTCATGCCTGTGATAGCCAAAGTTCTGTTGGAAAAGTTAACTCCCAATTCTTCGCAAAGCATCTTACAAGAATGATCTCAAACAGAATGAATTACTTTTGATTTATCAGTACCACCAGGTCCTGATAGAAAACAGATGAACTGCTCTTTGTTGTTCATTGTTGCCTTGAGATCTTGAATGTATCTGTTGCAGCAATTACCAATTAATCTTCCTGTGGAATCTCTTTTTCTTGATTGTTCAGGTCAATGTAGAGACTTTTCATGAAGTTTTAAAACAAAAGCAGCAACAATCTGGCTAAATGCATTTTCTTGGTCTTTGTCATTTTTAAAATTCAACTTTGCATACTGTCTGATATTTTCCAAGCTTCCACCAGTAGCTAAATGTAAAATTTTTCATAGCTTCTGCATGATCAATCCATTGTTTTTTTTTCTTCTTTGATTTGATTCCTTTTGTCGCGGTGAAGCCAGAGAAAAAAATCATAAACAGAAACATCTTCAAGTTTTCTTGGCCTGCACAAATAATTTGCAACATGAGACTTAAGAAATGGAATGCATTTGTTTTGAACTGTATTGGAATCCAAAACAAATTCCTCAATTCTCTCTCTCTCTCAAAAGAAGATGGAGTGATGTGTGAATCGAATGAGTCGAGTCAGTCACGTGGTTCATGTGGAACCATAGGATCAAATGAGTTGTTAATGTAGAGTGTGTATGAATCATAGATACGTGTCATAAGTATGTGTCATAGATATGAATCATATCCACAATCCAATATCCTATAGACAACCAGGAACAATAATTGGCGACCTTACACAGGAGAGTGAAAGTTTTCTAAGAGTGCCCTCAGCTTGTCTTAGAGTGCTTTAGTAGTTGTTACTAGTATAAAGGTATTGCAATTCCCATGGTCATGTTGAGGTGGATTTGTTCGGTGAGTGTAGGCTGTCTCTATTTCTTCTTGTTGTAGAACCTCATAGGGTCCCTACATCTTAAAGACAGAACCATTGTTAAACCTGTTTGTATTACTACTAGTACAAGTACAAACCCTCATGATTACATTCTATGCAAACCCCATGCAGACCATGCCAACTTACTGTACCATACCACAGGGTCATAATTTAGAGTGGTGCCATTGTGTCAAAACTCATATTCCATCGTCTTAGGCACCAACAATAAGAAAAAAATCATTTTTACTGCATACTACTATGTGAAGTAATACTATTAAAACTATTCAACCTTTAAGCACTTGCAACTTTATCAAGAATATGACTACCTCTGTTCCTACTAAACATCAGTGCACCAGTTTGCCCTACTTTGTTTTTTCCAAAATAATGGTGCAGTATTTACTTAACAGATTTTGGAGTTTCAGCCTGTTTTGAATTCTACAAATGACTGTGTAGTATGACTGTGTACAACACGTAGAATCAGTACTGTAGATAAAAATGAGCATGTGTGTCAATAAATATTAATTTTATTTTTCACACATGAAAACACACTCTATTAACACAACAAATAAAGTTTGCATTGACAATTGTATGGTCCATGACCAATGCAAGAAAGTTCTCCATACTGAAGAGAATTACAGCCTCAAAAATGTGTCACTCTTGTGACTGGTAGAACCCAACTGACGGTATTTTCATATTGATAAGAAAAAATAAGCTTTTTTGAAGGCTTATTCCATTATTGTTGCTGGTTCAATATTATAAGTCATAACACATTCAAAAAGTAATAAGCAAGAAGATCAACATAATAAAAAAAGAAGCAGTCAAATTGCCCAAATATTGAGCTTAAACCAACCTGAGACACGGTGCAAACTGCACCAATATTTAGGAACAGAGGTTCTTGTATTACTTTAATTTTTGACTCTGTTACCTACACTAGTTGTTAACCATCCAGAATTGAAATAGTAGTAATTTTGATAATTGTGTAACTGCTTAAAGGCTGGATAGTTTTACCCTCAGTTAGAATTTTTTTAAAATATAAAATAGTTTCCCTTACACCCCATGAAACAAGAAGAAACAAAGAGAATCTTTCTCTTTGTTTCAAAGGGCAATATTCTCATTGTTTCTTGTTGTTGTAACAAAGAGAAACAAAGAGAACATTGCCTCTCCTTGTTTCTCTTTGATTCGTTGATTTTGAACAGAGAAACAAAGATAACATCACCCAGGCAATTCTCTCTTTGTCTCTCTTTGTTTAAACATGGAAAAACCTTTCCCATGATTTTGGTTGGCGACTGTCTTCCTTAAAAACTAACGGAGGGCCCAGTAAAAATGAAATGAAAAAAAAATCCCAGGGGGAAATTTTTCTTCTTGGTGCCTAACATGGAATATGAGTTTTTCAAAAACTACTGGAAAACACTGCGCATCTTCGCAGGCGTTGCGCACGCACCCCTTACGAATAAAATGGATTTAAAACACGTTTCCCAGAATCCAGTGAGAACCGTTGGGTTACGGTACCAAGTACCAGTACCGTTAGCTTTGCGGATTGTCTTGATAGCACCACGCCATTATGAGAATACAAGCAACAAACTTCCAACCCTTCTTGCCACTTGCTTTTTTATCGTTATGAACTGTAGATGTCTTCTACGTACCTATCGCACAAACAATCTACCGTAGTGAAGTAGAGTACGGTACAGTAATCATAAAGAAGTACTTACCTCTACTTCACTACGGTATTTATAGAGGTCGTTGCAGATGACAACTTCAACAATCGTGGCAGTTGACGGTATTAAGAAAATATAAAGAAGATGATATTTATTTAATAACAATGCAATAAGAACATGCTCGTAAGGATTCCATAAATATATTAAAACTTATTTAATGGACTCAGCTTTGAAAATAGATTCTTCTAACTTCGTTCCACAGAAGAATTATGTTTTTTATGCGTTCTTTTATTTTTTAAATAGCCTCTTTAGGTATCGAAAGAAGAGTTATAGGACGTGCGTCACTCAAGATGGTGACACGTAGATGATGTTGTCAGGAAGAACATTCGATTCTTTTTGTTCCAAATTGATGTTCTCTGTTACTTCTTTTAATGGAATTAAATTTTCAAGAAAACAGACTCAACAACGTCATCATTTTTTCTACAAGCATCTGTTCTTTTCTTTTCACTTGATACCTATCTATTGTGATAGGTCCCATGCCATCTGTCAACGGAACATATGATTCTCATTGGCTCAATCATTGTAAGGGTGGAAAGATAAAAATGAGGTAAACTAAGTTCTGTATATTCCTACGCTATTCCAGTAATGAATTGGAATTTCATACTCTTCCTGACACAATCATTTATTCCTGTTCATGAGTCGTGATAGGATTCCGTAGTGTCTGTACGTTCGATTCTACTCTTCATCGAAATATCTACTATCAGAAAGACTGTGTCTTTTACAGATATACTAAGACCCTGATCTAAATTTTTCGCACGTAGAGAATCGCTTACGTGGCCACTAAAAGTATGGAAGCAAAAACTCACGCACGTGATTTCTAAGGCTCTTAATTTTAGGATGAAATATTTGTGCGAGAGTTATCTCAACAACAACAGATGCAACGTTACGAATAGGGACACATTTCGTAACCTGGTATTTGTGTAAAAGTGATTGCATGATCATTAGGAAGAAGACAGCAGCAGGGGTTGATAACAAGGTTGAATAGGTCGTCGTTGAAGGGATAGCAAGAATAATCATTATCCCACGTCCTGTTTCAATCGTTTCCTCCCGATTCTCTGTTTCAAGTGCCTTCGCATCCACGAACAATCTGTGAACAGACGCCTTTTGGATCTTCTGGATCTTGTCTGTTTTACGAAAGTCATCCCGTTGAGGACAAAGCCGTTTTCGTTAGCTTCACAGCTATTCTGAAATCCAGCTTGTGATACTATTCAACAATCGAGATTTGATTCTTAGGACTCTTGTCTCAAAAACCATGCACGTCATGATGACCGCTTCTGAAGACTCATCTTCGTGCGACAAAAGCTCTGTTGACACTACAACAGCAAAGTCATCCAGAAATGTGCGTTTCTCTCTTCGAAAGAAGAGATCATACGCCGATCGGAATATAGAGCCTTCACGTGTGAATCTATCTTCATACAACTCAGACTTCTTGTCTGGTCTCTTCGCCGACGTTGCGAAAGCAAACGTCCTGAAGGAGCTTAGCATCGAGCTTCCTTCTTCATCGTCATCCAACCCTTCATCTACACCCATCACTGAGGCATGCACTCCGAGCTTATCATCTCACCTTGTTCCAGACTCAATGGGCAGTCCAAGACCCGAGAAAAAGAGCCGTTTGTCCTACCAGGCGTCCTTTTGCAGAAGTCGCGCTTCCTGTATGAATCTTCTTGCTATCAAGAATCAATCGAATCTTTCAAATTTATCTCCCAAGGGAATCAACGAGATTTCCAAACTTGAAAAAGACGTGACCAAAACGAAAAAACAAGATTCTCTCGCTTACCAACTTGATTGCCTAGAACAAGACTCAACCCAAGAACAACCACATTCGACAGGAGCATTTGCCCTCCCTGCAACCGTTTCTGTTTCCCCAACGAACAACAAGAAAATTAAGAAGGACGTTGCAGCCTTAGCATTCCCCAACCTTCCATCAACCATCAGCGACTCTTCCTGCGAAAGTAACAATGTAACTTCAACAGGTCTAACTCGAGAGAGATGCCTGGTCCTGCACGGACCCGCTCCCGAGATGGCTGCTGCTTCAAGCAGCGGTAGCAAAGATTCGTTCGGATGGTTTGTGGACTTGGATGACAACGAGGAAAATGATGCTGAGGATCACCACACTGCTACTACTTCTCAAGAAACAGCCTGTCCTAGTGACTTGGCATTTCAAGCACCCACTGCCCCCAAGCGTGCCAACAACAACGTTCAAGAAGAAATGGAACAAGCATACGCTGCCGACACTATCGACTCTGTATTAGGAGATCTTTTCTAATGCAAATGGGCCGCTGTGTTCCGTATGGCTTCTTCCCAATACCGTTGTACAAGGTCAAATCTCTTTCGCACATGCCTCGAGATAGCTGCCCCTACCTGTGCTTTCCGGATTGAAAGATATCCACTCCCATTCTACACATCCTTTCGCTACTTCATTACATTTCATAGATCAATAATGTCATTTTGTTGATTGTCTGCACTACGAAGACCCAATCTCCGTCGAGAACAGAACACAAAAAATGGCTTCTGACACGAAGAAATTCAACATTGCGCTACGCATCATCCTCCGCTAAAACCAACTCAACCTGTGAACACCTCTGCTGACTAAAGGCTCTAAGACATGCAATGCAACGCATACCAAGCATGTCACACAAAACATACCTCTCGTTTCGGTTGAAATAGGTTTTGATGAATTGACACGTATCGCGAAAAGTCAGTTATTGAAATTTATTTTCAGCGCTTCTACTACTCCCTCATTCAAATCAACACCCACGCGTTGCACCTCACAAGCTTATGAAGCAACTTTCCACCACATTACTTCACTGCGCTACAGCTAAAATTTTGTACCATCATTTATCACAGCATATCTGTACACTACGAAGAAAGTAACAATTCTAGTAATTTGATATTTTCACAACTCCAGATGAAATCAGTTTAACTGCCGTAGAATCGCTTTTCTTACTTTTTGTGTGATATTTGGTAGGAGACAGATAATTATTTTGCTGTTTCCACTCTTTCCAACCTTTGTATTTCAAGATAGATTATATCGTATTTGCTTCTGTACCTAGCAAGCAGTGTTGTACCATACCGTAGTACAGTATTTCATGTCTGTAATTCTTTTTTCCATACAGTATTATTATTACGAGTCGTACGAGGAGTAGGTACGAGAACCGTAGTTTATCTCTGTGTTTCGTACCGGTACAGTGGTAAGGAAGAAACGAAATTTCCAACGGTCTTCGAGACAAGAATTTTAGTCTCCCAAAAAACAGAGTACAAGTAGTACGATACGAGTAGCAAGCAGATTTTTTTCTCTGCGATCTGCGACTGGTCCTATTGTACGTTACATATCGTAGGTAAGTATAATATGTAAATCTTATACGTACATACCGTTCGGAGTATGAGTTCCGACGTATTTTCTGTGTTCTAGGCCTACCGTATGTAAGATATTTTTTTGTACGGTACTTGGTACGGTACTCGTACTTGATAAGAACCGTGCATTTTTAAATCAGATTCGCACGAGGTCGTGTACGAGGTCGGCATTGTACGAACATACCAGTAGTGCGTAGAATTTTTTGAGTTCTATCCCACGACGACTTGAACGTTGAGATCTCTTCCCGAAAAATAATGTGATCTGAACTGAAGGCTGCGGTAAAAATCAGCAGAAAGATATTTCCTTTCCCCAGCATACGGCACGTACCTGGTATACCTGTAGACGAGAGCAGTTCAGTCAGAATAAAGAAAACGCAGGACCCGTCATCAGTGTCTCCTGGACCTTTATTCCTGGGATCGAACAAAGCAAGACACCATGGCCCAACCCATTAGCTCCCCCGTAAGCCCCGTATTTCTCCCCCTTCAGATCTTGTTGATCGGGATCGATCTCCTGGTAAGAAGTTTTGATGAAAATGAGACAGACTTGGACGAGGAAGATCACTAGGACGTCGGTGTTTCACGATTGACTTGTGCCTCTTACGTAAAATCCTTCTTCTTTTACTTCTATTTTCAAACGCAAATCGCATTGTATCTTTCTTCAATATGCTTCGAACTAATGACAACAGATCTCGCTCTTGACTTTTGGCTGGATCAATGTCCTTACGACACTAACAAAGCCCAAGCCCCTCCGAACTGTCCCTGTAGCCGACGACTTCTCTCATCGCGTCTTGCCAGAAAACAAAGGCAATCTAACGACCGTCCCTTCGAATGGTGCAACAACGCTCTATGAATGCTTCAACACAACCTTGGAAAGCCATGGTTCCTCCCTTTGCATGAGAAGCCGCAAGTTCAAAGGATGGAAATCCAAAAAGGTGAAAGAATTCAGCACCGAGATCACTGAGTTGACCTACAGCCAAGTCGGCGAAAAAGCATACAAGTTTGGTGCTGCTTTGGCAGCTACCGGTTGCGTTGCATCGGACCCCGAGGCATCCCTCGAAAAGGTTACCAAGCCATGCCGGATTGCTATTTTCGAAAACACCTGCGCCGAATGGATGATTGCCGCACTTGGAGCATTCTCGCAAAGTGTAGGCGTGGCCACTGTTTATGCTACGCTTGGAATTGATTCCGTAGCGGAAGCGGTTGTTGACAACTCCATCAGTGCTATTGTTTGCAACAAAACCAACGTCGCGTACCTGGTCAACAATGCGAAGAACATGCCATGCCTCAAAACCATCATTTACACTAACGATTTGGTGGGAGAGACTATGGAAGTCGATATGCCAACTGACACCCCCGCAGGCCTTACCGTGATCGCCTTTGATGACTTTGTCGAGACAGGTGACACATCCAAGTATCCCGTGGTTCCTCCAGCGCCGGAATCGGCAGCTGTGATCATGTACACATCAGGGAGCACTGGAAAACCAAAGGGAGTAGTTGTCAAGCACAGCTCCATCGTTGCCGGCGTTGCTGCCGGAGAATCGCTCATTAACCTGGATGAAAACGTCAAGTACCTCGGGTATCTGCCATTGGCGCACATCTTCGAACTCATGTACGAATTTTGTTGCTTGTCAAGTGGCGCATCCATTAGTTACGCTGATCCCAAGTCATTGACTGCCACCGGTGCTTACCCCACAGGTGCCCTTGAGACTTTTGCTCCCACCCATATGGTAGCCGTGCCTAAGATCTGGGACACTATCAAGAAAGCTATTGTTGCCAAGGTCGCATTGTCGTCTCCAGTTGCACAAGCACTCGTTAACACCGCATTGATGTGGCGGGCGTTTGCCATCACAATTGGCTTGGACACTCCCTTGTTCAACGTGTTGGTCTTCAAGAAGTTCAAGAAATTCGTCGGCGGTAATATCCAACACGCGCTTTCGGGAGGTGGTCCCCTTAACGGTGATGTCCAGACTTTCATTAATGTCGCTTTTGGATTTCCATTGGTGCAAGGTTATGGTTTGACCGAAACCTGTGCTGGATTGACTATCCAACATATCGATGATATGCGTACCGGAATCGCTGGAACTCCCATTCCCTGCGTTGAGGTTCGATTGGACTCTACCCCGGATATTTGTGACAAGGCTGGTGTAGCATATCTGAAAACCGATCGAAAGGATGTGGACGGAAATGAGGTCTGGGGACGTGGTGAAATCATGGTCAAAGGTAAAAATGTCACAACTGGCTATTACATGATGCCCGAGAAGACCAATGAAGTCTACATCGATGGGTGGTTTGCCACTGGAGATATCGGTCAATTCATGGAAGATGGTAGCATCCGAATTGTTGATCGCAAGAAGAATCTTGTCAAACTCAAGTCTGGTGAATACGTGGCTTTGGAAAAGATGGAAATGGTTTATGGAAACAGCGAATTCGTTGACGCTGTTACAGGAGGAATCTGTTGCTACGGCGACGGCGACATGGACCGATGTGTTGCACTCTTCCAGATTGCCAAGCCAGCTTCCATGCAGTGGGCCCAGAAAACTGGACTTGTCGGACCGACTGAACAAGAAGGCGATTGGGAGAAGGTCAAGAACTCGAAAGAACTTTACAACCATGTTATGGAGTGTTTCAAGAAAGAACACGCTAGCAGTGATTTGAGCCACATCGAGAAGCTGATTGCAATCGCCATGTTGGACAGTCCTTGGACACCCGAAAATGGATGTCTCACCGCTGCTAACAAATTGCAACGCCGCAAGGTCATCGAGGACTTTGCCACGGAATTCGAAGAGGTGAAAAAGAAGGGAATTTTCTAGATTTCAGCAACACTTCGGAAGGATCACAGGGCACCGAGAGAAAATTTGTCCGTACCCTTTCTGTCACCATGGAGTGCAGGAAACTTTTTTCATACATTTTTACTTATTTAATTTGCTAGTGAAGATACATAACGATTAACTTTTATTCCTTGACTCGAAGAGTTTGATAGTGATATGCAGCTACTGAACAAATCTCGTTAGTGTAATATTAGACGGATACTGCAAATAAGCGTGCATATTTTCATCTGCGCTATACAGGACAATCGATCCGCCTTAGGAGGTCGTAAAATGAGCTGAATGGTTGTATTATCACCTGCTTGAGTTGGCACTACCAAAAGTTCACCAACAGGTATAATCTTAAAGAATTCAGAATAAAGTAAGCATCACGATTTGCTGCACTGAAAAGTGCATCTGTCAGATTTTCAAGCTCTGCATGAATAGGAAATAAAGAGGTCAGATAGTAAAAGATACTGAAGTGAATCCCAACTTCTCCATATCGGCCCTTTTATGCTACACAGAAGCATGATTTAATTTTTTCAATTAATATAAAAAAGAAGTGCTTTGAAAACTGTGTTTTATGTATCAAAATATCCAAAAAAAACTAGTCGTATATATGAACAAAAGTGATCCCTTCGAAGATTGGGCTTGCCCTGTCTATGTGTGATACTGATGATTGACTACTGCCCTTCGCCATCCATCAGTTGTAATGAATCCAATTAAAATCGGTTCCATAGTGTGATTGTGTGTATAGTGTACAAAATAAAAACTTGCATGCCAACCAATCGACGGCTGCGACTCTCAACCAAGATTCAGGCTTATTGACTCAACGTTTCTTAGCGCTATGGCCGGGCAGGGAAGAAAGGATGGCAAATCAAGGGGTGAATGAACCTGTTTCAATTTTTCATCGTCGTGTGCCAGTGCGAGGGTGCCGCTGCCAACAGATGTCCTGATACAACACCTGGTCTTCTTCTGCCGTTGGTTATGAACAGATGCTGCCTTCTTTTTATTATAAGTGGTAAGCGAAATTGACTCAATCTTGTTCGTCTTGCGCGGACAGCGAAGAATCTTGATGCTAGATTCAAGCAATGACTTCTTCGGAATGGCCAAACTAGAACCCGGCGGCGAATTCAATGGCGAGCATTGATAATCATTGCCCGGTATTCTTTTCTTGATAGGTCTTCTTCGACGTCGAGCAACAACGACCTCCTTAACTTGAGGAAGAGCTGTGACACTGCGATCGTCGTCTGATGCATCCGAAACAGCAACAGCGGCGGGAATTGAATCGCGAGCCTTGTTTTGGCCATTGCATGCTAAAGATGCTAACATGAACAGCATGTTGTTTTGTTTCGGCGTGTTCTTACTTATTGCCATGGCTGGAATTGAAACGACTGAAGCAGTGCTTTATGGTGTCGCTGAAGTTGATTTGTGGTTTGTGTTTTGGTCAGGGTTCTGCTTTTCGGTCAGCTACTAAAATAATTGACGTCGTCGTCTAAAATTGTGAAGTCGTTTTGCAACAAGTCAGTGTGCGTTGTACTTAATGTTCAGGCATTTTTTTTCGTAATGTCACTATTTAAGTTATCGAATGCTTTAATCCACATTTACTTCGTTCAATTGAACATTTTTTTGATGTCTTTATCCCCAAGCGTCAGGGAAGCGATAATCCAACTCCGATCTTCGTGAAGCAAAGTGTGTTTGCTTCTTGAAGCTGTCACAATAAATGAAATTTCACGTCGTAGCATTCCTAGAAAGAAACCAATTGTTGACAACTACTTCTCGATCCCCTCCGGAAGTTGCGGAAGAGCGACAGCTATCAACAACCGTTCAATCACGTGTTGCCCAATGATTTATCGTGAATCATGTTCAATCGTATTTTCCACAAACAAGTGAAAAACCTACGGGTATTAATTTTTAAGAAATTTTACGAGTTTTGTGTACTGGGAAACAGTACGAGTTCCTAAAAAGTTACGTACTGAACTTTATTTGAATGCATGAAATACCCCTGATGAGTTCAAAGGTCATGGCAAGTGACCAGATGTACGACAGAAATAGATTCTAAGATTCCGTAAATTTTTCTTAAAAAATGGGAACTAAAAGAGGGCCTACCGTAAACATGGAACGCTTTTGTACAAATATGTCCACAACTTACCTATGCTGAAAGAGAGGAAGTGCAATTACAATAATACCAACTTCAACGATTGAACTTTTGTAGGACACGTAGAAAAAACTTCCACGTCCAACAAATCATCAACAAAATTTGCACTCAAATTGCATAAGCCATACAGCTGGCATAGTAGAAGTAACGAACGGAGTCCTAAATTTCGAAGACATTTACGTCTGCGAACCGTTGGGATTTCCAACCGTTGGAACCTGACCACTTCTACCTTCAAGGTCAGACACACTTGAAGCGCGAGGAAGTTTCACTTTTGCAATGCCACGCTGTTGTTGAGGCGCGGAGAAAGTTCACAAATGTTGTCAATAATCCAATGACGCAGTTCAAACTTCATACGATTTACACGTGAATAGAGCGAACCTTCGAATCTTCCGACTAATATCCATACCTTGTAGTATCCGTTGTTCATGGATTCATATTCAACCAAAAGAAGTTACTGTGGCCCGTAAACCAAAAGTTCCAACAAAGTTTCAACCTTTTCTCTCGATGTACGAAGGGAACAGGATACGTACGTACCATTGGTAGCAGGAGATTGTTGCAAACAACTTCCTTGAATGGCTTCTGCGCAACAAAGTATCGTGCTGCCACTAGTACGTACTCATCCAGTGATAGAAGAAACAAGCACGTGATGTAATCACTCTGGAAATGCGATCACTCAGCTCACCACAAAGCAAGCTTGCTTCTCGAGAAATCCTTGGATTCCCTTGCAGAAAGCTCCGGCAAAGAGTAGAACAAATTTCCAACCCACATCACTTAGCGTCCCGTTAAGCATTCGTACATTCATCTACCGCGACGGGTAAACAACGAAGACAAAATATGGTCCCATAGCTCTTCATTATCCTTTCATCTACCGCGACGGGTAAACAACGAAGACAAAATATGGTCCCATAACTCTTCATTATTCTTTTACCGAATTTGATTTTCTCTCCATCATTTCTAAGCTTAGTTGCTTCTGGAGGAATTTGAGTCTCCCGGCAGTTGGAGATGTCAAAGAAATATCCATGGATGTGACGATTGATTGCACAATAGTGAAAGCAACATGCATGCCATTGATGTAGCTGCATTTCCAAAGCGAATCACGTACTTGAACAGTTACCCGTAACTGTATTCCAATCGCTATAGTTCTTTACATAGTTTCCATTACTAAACACACCCGCTTGATTGAAATTCATGCTTCCGATGCTGCTGCTCTACGCTATCGGCTGGTAGACGAATAATCTAGAGTGTATGAAAAAAGGATTCATTTGCGGCGCCTGGCTTCTTAAAAACTCGTACAATTCCTATTTTTTAACCATAATTCGTTAGAAGTAGTTACTGTGGCAATGCATCCAGACTAGATTGCACCATCTTGGCTTGGCTTTCTAGTTCTGCCAACTCAGCCTTGGCTTTGTCCACAACTGCAGCAGGAGCTTTGTCTACGAATCCTTTCGAGCTAAGTCTACCAGCAAGTTTCTGGATCTCAATTTCAAGTTTGCCTTGTTGCTTTGTCAGACGGGCACGTTCTTTTTCTGGATCGATTAGACCAGAGAGCGGCAAGAACACTTCCACACCGTCTTGAACAACGAGTTGTACCGACTCGTCATTATTAGCCGCCTTTGCGTCGTCGCTGCCAGCTTCAACCACCTTGGCATCTTCGGGATCTAATCTCGCGAGAAGAACAAGCGATTTCAATTCCGCTTCGATCGCATCCTTCAATGTACCTGCTGGAGCCACAACGATTGCACTGATCTTCTTTCCTTGTTCAACGTTGTATTCTGCACGGGCATTGCGAATACTTCGGGTCACGGCTTGGAAACACTCGAAGGTGGACACAGAGTCATGGTTCGTAACAAGTGGAAAAGCGTCATCCATTTGAGGCCAATCCGAAAGCATCAGTGCGTGAGCCGCTTGGTTTTCACCGGCCTTAGCGCGTGGCAGATGATGCCAAAGCTTTTCTGTCACGTAAGGCATGTATGGGTGGAGGACTCTTAAAATGATATCCAATACATACACGAGAACGCGTCTCGAGGCCTTTGCCTCTACGATGTCACCACCACCATTTCCCTCGTAAAGACGGGTCTTAGAAATCTCAATGTACCAGTCGGCATATTGGTCCCACATGAATTCATAGATCTTGCTTCCCGCAGCACCAAGTTGGTATTTTTCAATGTCTTCCGTTACACTTGCAACAAGCTCGTGGGCTTTTGATACGATGTACTTCTCAGGGAGCAATAGTTTATCGAATTCCTCCTGGCTCATCGGCCCAGTCACACCAAGTTCCTCCATCTCAGCTTCATCTGCATCTTTAAGGGCGTTGCCCGTCACAAATTTACAGGAATTCCAAAGTTTGTTGCAAAAATTACGATTTGCTTCGATTTTCTCCATGTTCAGAGGAATGTCCTGCAGTGCCGAAAACAACAGTAAAAATACAAATGAGAAAGAAATTGTATTAATGTAGGCACTTCGCAATGCTCTGCTTCAAATATACTCAGGCTCTTCGATGACAAATTCAGGACTTGTGCCTTACCTGGCCTGGAGTCACTCCGGTAACAAGAGAATATCGAAGACTATCGGCGCCGTAGTCCGCTACGGTATCCAGGGGATCGATAACGTTTCCTTTCGTTTTTGACATTTTGCTCCCATCTGCAGCTCTTACCAACCCATGCAAGTAGATAACACTAAATGGACTTTCTCCGGTCAATTCAATTCCCATCATGACCATTCTAGCTACCCAGAAAAATAGAATATCATAACCAGTCTCCAAACACGTTCCTGGATAGAATCGAGCCAAGTCGGAGTTTACATCTCCTTCATTCGCGGGCCAACCAACGGTTGCAAATGGCCATAGACCAGAGCTGAACCAAGTATCCAGTACGTCTTCTTCCTGCCGCAAAACGACGTCTTCGGGATGGCCGTTTTCGACAGCTTTGCTGCGAGCTTCTTTTTCATTTCGTGCCACAATGAATTCAGATTCGCCAGTCTCGCCAACATACCAGACGGGGATTCGATGACCCCACCAAAGTTGTCGGGAAATACACCAATCGTGAATGTCAGTCAACCAGTTGTTCCAAATCTTGTCGAATCGTTTGGGTATGATTTCGATATCGCCATCTTCAACTGCCTTTAGAGCCTTCGCTCCCATTCCTTCCGTTTTCACAAACCACTGACTACTCACTAGAGGTTCAATAATTTCTCCTCCACGTTGAGATCGAGGGACACGCTGGGTATGTGGATCTACTTTGATGGTTAACGATTCCTTCTCCATATCCTTCCAAAGCGCTTCCCGCGCATCAAATCGGTCCAAACCATTATAGCTCCCGGCATTTTCGTTCAGTGATCCATCCTTATTCATAATGTTGATAATGGGCAAGTCGAACTTCTTACCGATGGCATAATCATTTGGGTCGTGCCCAGGAGTAATTTTCAAGGCACCTGTACCGAATTCCATATCAACGTATTCATCAGCAATAATTGGAATAGTTCTCCCGTTTCCCATTGGCACAACAGCTTGCTTTCCTACCAAATCCTTGTACCTCTCATCTTCAGGATGCACGCATACAGCGGTATCACCCATGATTGTTTCGGGTCGGGTTGTTGCAACAGGAAGAAATTCTAAAATGCGAATCAAGGAGTACCAAGGAAGAGAGATTGAGACAAAGAGTGTATATTCGTCTGCAAGCCATGGTCGAAGAGCACGCATCAAAAAATCAATGGCTCAAACTTACCGCCATCAGAACCCTCAACCATGTATTTGAAAAAATAAAGCTTGCCTTCTTCTTCAGTGTATTCCACTTCCAAATCACTGACGGCTGTTTTTAACATAGGTGCCCAATTGACCATGTATTCTCCTCGGTAAATAAGCCCCTTGTCATGTAATCTAACAAATGCTTCGGACACGGCTTCCGACAAATCGCTGTCCATGGTAAATCGTTCTCGAGTCCAATCGGCAGATGCTCCCAAAGATCGAAGCTGACGGGTAATGTGACCACCCTGTTCAGCTTTGTAAGTCCAAACGCGATCCAGAAATTCCTCACGACCGACTTCTTCCCGCGAAGTCCCCTCGGCAATCAACTGTTTCTCAACCTGCAATTGCGTTGCGATACCTGCGTGGTCCGTACCTGAGCATTGCATGAATGCACGAAACAATAATTTTAGTTTGAGCTGATTACTCATTTTCTCTTGTCTTTTCATCGCTGTTAATCCTCATGGGACACCATGATTGTCGACAAAGCGGAACGCAACCAAACAGCACACAAATTGATGCATCGTCTGCAACTGAATATCAGTCTATTAATTTAAACGTACCTGGCAACCACAGAACAGGTCGGCCTCTCATTCGATGGAATCTGGCCAAGACATCTTGCAAAGCTACGAAAATAGCATGCCCCATATGAAGTCGCCCGGTTACATTAGGAGGAGGCATAGGCAGAACATAGGGTTTTCTGCCGTTCTTATCACTCTCCTCCTTGGTTTGTTTGGCGTCTGGTTGAAAACATCCGGCCGACTCCCACCATTTGTATATGTCGTTTTCGAACTCTGTCGGAGCATAATTCCCCAATCCCGCTTCTTTGTTTTCGAGATCGTAGGCACATGAAGCTTTTGTCGCTTCTCCATCGGCGACAGTAGATGACAAGCGCAGAGATGTCGGCGTGCCCCAGAATGTATTCTTAGTTCCGACAAAGGATCCAACTCTGTTGTCAACAGAAAATGGAAAAGAAGCAGAAGCCCTTGCAGCAGGAGAAAAAGTGCGCGGCTTTTGGTTGCTGCTTCGAACAAAGGCAGATACACCGGCTTTGGCGGTGGTACTAAAAGCTCGGACACCCTGAGCTGAAAGGGAAGAAGATACGCAAAAGAATGCAGCTACCATTGCCTTCGATGCACTCTTTTTCTTCTTCGTTCGCGTACTCTTGGCTGCGAACAGTTGGTTCGACATTCCGATGGATTTCGATTCAGGTACGAAGCTTGTCCACTTTTATTTATTGGGTACAATTGTAAAGAAATCTTTTATCACGAAAGTCCAAGAAAGATCAGGTCTAGTCCAGTGTAATGAAAGGACTGTTCTTATTTCTTGTCATCGAACCTCGTATGAATTCATAACGCATCCGTGAAAAATCATCCATCAACCCTAACCGTACGACTTTCTGATGCGGCAAGTCTGTTCGTGCTCAGTGTTTTCTGTAGTGTGCGTAGGGTTGAATTAGTTGACCACAAACGTCATGGAGTGAGTCAATTTGATTTTTTCATGATGGACGTAAATCGGGACTCGATTCACTCTGGAATGGTCTAAAAGTGCTGGTAATACAATCTACAGCGTTTCCTGTTTGCACCGGTATGAAGTGCCTTACGTGTAACGCTATCGAACCAAGAACGTTTCTCTCAAATTTCAATCACTGATTTACGAACCCCGTGATGACATCAGAAATCAAAAAAATTGATGTTTTCGAAAAAATACCTGTTTGGTATCATCTCTTATCGTATTACAATACGAGAAGTTTCTGCTCCAACATCCACACAGCACTACATCGCCTTCGGCCATAGGTTCAAACAGATTATCAGCCACACTTGACATTCGAGAGGAAACAAGGAAACGCAAGAATGCATTACTTCTTTTTGGCATGTATTTTGGCGTGTGCTCCTTATCACGCCAACAACGGTGTTTACGGCAGTAGGACGCTGCTGGTCGGACTTATCTGCATAGTCGTCATTTTGATATTGACACCTGAGACAGAGATTTCAGCTCTGCGAATACAAGATAGTGGCACGAAAAACGAAGATGCGGCTCCTCCCTTGGCCCCCGATGAAATTGCCCTTCTCGAAAGTCTCGACTACTTGGAAAACGATGACGTCGAAAAGGCATATGCCGTGCTCCAAGCGAGTTTTGAAAGCAGTGCGCGCAACCCCAACCCAGAACGGAGAGTGAATCGTCTCAGCCAACGAAAAATTAGTCTAGGTGGTGGGACTACATTCACAACAGAATACAAAATCCGCCAGGATATAGAACAAGCACAGTATTTGGCGGAAACCTTAGACGACTCCCAAAAGGCCGAGTTCTTCGCATCGATTGTTCTCCCGGTGTATAAAAAGATGCTACAAAGTATTCCCCCGCTGGAAGCATTGAGAGAAACAATGGGATTATATCAATTTCAAAGGTCGGACGTCGAATACGGTATTATGGACGTTTACAATAGGGCGTTGCATGTACCAGACGTTCCGGCTAGTCGGACCGATGGAACACCTATTCCCATATTTTCGGAAGCACTGGACCCATCTCAGATCGAAAAAGATTGGATCGAATCAGATGGTATTGTAGTTGTTGACAATATTCTGTCGAAGGAGGCATTGGAATTGATCCAACAGAAAGTACTGTGGGAAAGCACTGTGTGGTACCAAACAAAACTTCCTCAGCGATTCGGAGGGTATACGGGTGCATACATTGACGATGGACTTCATCAACGAATATTGCTACAACTTTCGGTAGATTTGCGAAAACTACTTCCAAATATTTTCGATGGACATCCTTTGAAGTATATGTGGGCATACAAATGTGAGTTTGTCGGTTTGCTGTTGTTCTATGCATCTGCCGCTGTAGTTGTTTTACTTTACGTTCGTTATGAATCAGTTGCTGACATTTTATAACTATTGCGCCACCCAAGATGATTCAGAGTACGGAGGGATCAACTTGCACGCCGACGAAGCAGCCGTCAACGTCAATTTGTGGTTGACACCAAACGATGCAAATCTTGACCCCGAGAGCGGGGGTTTGGTCGTTTACACAGTGAAACCACCACAGGATTGGGACTTTGAGTTGTACAATCGTGACACCGACTTTGTGTATGAGCATCTCATCCAGCCCTCTGGATTTGCCAACGTCACCGTGCCCTTTCGAGAAAATAGGGCCGTTATTTTCGATTCAGCTCTGTTCCATACCACGGATGAGTTTCACTTTCGCCAAGGTTACAAAAACCGAAGGATCAATCTGACTCTCCTCTATGGGGACATGCAAAAAGGGAAACAACCGCCACAATCTTTTGAACTCTGATCGTTTTACGGTCGGAAAGATGAGATGACCATAGTTTTATCTCAATAGATTGAACGATATGCCAGGAATCCGGAATGTTTCTTTCGAATTCTTTCGAATTGGTGTAATGGAAATGCTTGTTCTAAGTCAAAGCTGTGACATGAAACAGTGCTATCGTTATCTCTATCCACCCGTTGTATTTAGCACTGTCCTGTTTGCGGTGCAACAACCGCAAGAGAGGCATTTCAATTTTGTTAAAGAGGCGCCAAGGATGTCTGTTGCACTTCATCCATCTGAAGACACACGGAACGAAACAACGCCACAATTGTGGATCTCTTTCACACATGGGGATGACCTCACAAAAACGTTTGGACCAACAGACATTGAATATACGAACAATCAATTCAAAGTAAATGATATGATTTCGTGACTAACGTGTCGAATAATAGATTTAATGAGTACAGGATGTACAGCGGTGTCAACATATTGTGTTATTCTTTGCCAAGTTGTGAATTATAATGGAAAGGAAAAGAAAGGCAGACATTTTCTTAATCAATGACAGAAGCTGCTCCGTAGGCCTGAAAGGAAACAGAAAACAAAGAAACCAAAATTAGAAACAAATAAGAAACTTCATAGATTCACGTATTTGCAAATATGGATCCACAAGCCTCTGCAATGTATGACTGCCAACATCAAGAGAGGAGAGGAGGTGAACCCGGTAACTACTCCGGCCTCCAAGCCTCTCGTCAGTAGCCAAGCGTCAAACGGTGTCGTCACTGGCATGAAATGCAACCAACCGAACCGAACAAAAACGATGCGACGGGTTTGGACCCTTGCACGTAGTTTACATACCACGGTGAGGTCGGGGTCGATGTGCGTATTCAACTGAGCACCCGGAAAGGCCTGGCGGACCAGTTCCCGTATTTGCGGCATCCGCGTCGTTCCCCCAACCATGACGATTTCGTCGATCTCTTCCTTTTGTAGGGTGAGATCCTCGACCAGCCGCGTGGCGGGAACCACCGAACGATCGAAAAGGGGCTGGCAGGCGGTGTTGTATTCTTCCAGCGTGACTTCCAGCATTTCCTCGAACAGCGAGTCGCACATGGACTCCAAGGAGGACGACCTTGTTGCTGCAGTTAAGGGAGGAAGAGCCAAGCACTTTGTGCGGGCTGCTATGGATCCCTCCTCGATTTGTCCAACACTTTCTTTCTGCTTTTGTTGTTGTTGGGAGAGATCTATTTTCACTTTTTCTCCCAACGTATGGAAGGATGAGATGCTGCAGAGAGGAATTTCGTCCGTGATCCGATCACAGGAGGAAGCCAGGATTTCAGCCATGTCCTCGTCGCGATCCTGATTCTTTCCGCTGCTATGATCGTCGCCATATGCGGTGAGGTTTTCCAATACCGACGAGTGCTTCTCCGCGAGCAAGTGAGCCACCGCAACATCAAAATCCGCTCCACCAAGTCGATCGTCTCCATCGCTTCCCATTACGTCACAGTAACCCTCGCTGACGTGCAAAATGGAAATGTCGAGCGTGCCTCCACCCTGAAATGTATGGTTGTCGTATTTGGAAAAGTGGTGCACCGTCAAAGGCCACACCACGAGGATATGGATTGATCGCCCCGAGTAACATTTTGAAGGAGGATTCGACAGAAAACAAAATTGGTGAGCGAGGACCGGCATCATCGAATGTCCTACCGCGCAGCGTCATTTACCAAAACTACAGTACTCGCTGGTATCCAGCACAATCTAATCCAATGCGATCAACTAAAGCCAAATACCAAACAAACGAGAAAAAACTCACAAAATCGTAGACCAAAATCTTTTCGACGCCCTCTTTTTTGTGCAGCCCATAGGCCAGGGCTGCCGCCGTGGGCTCCTCCAGGACGCGGGCCACCTTGAGCCCGGCGAGTTGAAAGGCCTCAAAGGTCCGCCGGCGCTGGTGGGCGTCGAACTTGGCCGGAACCGCCAGGACGGCCGACTTGACGTTGTCGTGCCCCAGGAAATCCCTCGTGATCCCAACCAAAAAGTTGACGACGTAGCCCCCGACTTGCTGGGGCGAGAGAGCGACCGTGGAGTCGACGCGGAAGACCGATTCGAGAGGGAGATTCTCTCTGGTGTCGTCGTCGTCGTCACGAACTTGTTCCTGCTCGACGCGGAACTCGACCTCTCTCCTCAGCTCCTCCACGGCGGTGTCTCCGTAGGGTCGTCCCAGGACGCGCTTGGCGTTGTAGAGTGTTTGGTGGGGGTGCGTGTCGATGCGCTTCTTGGCGGCGTGTCCCACGACAACTCGGGAGGGGTGCGGGTCCAGGAGCGTCTTGGTTTTGCTCGAGGGCCCTACCTTGATTTCCCCCGCCTCTCGGTGCAGGTCGTAGACACTGACCACCGAGGGGACGATCGGGGATCCCGTCAGCGGATCCTCCACGCAGTCAATGACCCCCACCCCCTTGGACAAGCGCTGGATGCAAATGACCGAGTTAGTCGTTCCCAGATCGATTCCGGCCACCGAGGCGCGGCCCCGGAATCCGCGCTGGGCCATAACCGCCATCACCAGGACCCCGACGCCGATGAGCGAGGGAACCAGGGCCTCCAGACCACCGGAGGGATTGTCCTTGCCGTGTTTCTGGAGAGCCTTGGAAACTTTCTTCTTTTTCTTCTTCTCTGGGGGTCCGGAAGCAAGCCCGGCATCGGAGAGAAGTATGTATTCACCATCCTTGTCGCGTTTTTCTCTCCGCAGTCTCTGGGGTTTTGTTGTCGCGTTTGCTATTCTGCTCTTCGAAGCCATGTCGCCGTTAACAGCTGTGTTGGTTTTTGAATTGGAGTCTGATCCTCCTTTGTCCGGTCGGCACATCGTAGCGGTGTCTGAGTAATTTTCTTTCTCTCTTGTATTGGTTTTGGCTTTCAAATCCAAACCGACGGGTCGAAAGAAATGACTATTCGTCGCCTCAAATCAAAGAACGCTTTCCCGGTGCCCTGGTATGCGTTTTTCTGGCTGGCGGACAGGAAGTTCCCTAGAGAGACGACGATGCTTTCAAAAAAGAACAACCTTTGTGTAGTGCTTGCCTAGCCTCTAGCAATATGGCATCTGGTACGGTCAACACTATTTCCAAAATGAGAAAGAATAGACGAAGCGAAACAAAACCAAACCGTCCGTTTTTGGCAGTTCGTTCTGTACCGTAGATGAGTTCTGCTGGCTAGCGTAGCTGTGAACATCATCCTCGTAGGCGTAATCCAGAAGACCGTCGGATAGCCAACGGTACAATACGTATCACACTACGTAGGTACTACGACCACGAGTACGATCAACACAACTTGTTGCCCGGTCGTTCATCATTCAACACGTGTTGCTGTACAGCTAGAAACTACGGAGCAACCCATTAAAAAAAACCGACGAGCTCAGTCGTGCATACCTGTACCGTACGGTACGCACTGGTAAAGATTATGGTTCATGGTTCATGCTGTCCATGACGTTCTATCATGGGTACGAGTACCCTACTCGTACGATCCATACGATGTGACTTCTATCAGGTATCAGGCCGACTACAGTAGATATTAAAGTCGTACGTACATATTATACATACAATTAATATATATGCACTGTACGCACAAAAAAGCAACCTCTGTTTTATGCGTGGGACCTCATCATACCGCACGTACATCGATCGAGGGCTCATAATTTAGACCCCTGCGTACGTAGTATATCCTTGTGCCATACGGTACAGTACATGGTTCATCACTTACATGTATGCACACCACAGCTTGTACTCGTAACTCGTGCGGCAGATTCTTTTTATGCCTCAATCACGCGATCAACGCACTACGAGTACGTACTCGTACGTAACTATGGGAAAGCAGTCACACGTGATCTGATTTTGGGGTAAAACATCGCCGATGTCATTTTCGATACCGTACGTACCAATTCCACCAAACAAAAGGACGACACGCCGTGACAGAGATACATCCTGTTCCCGTGTTCCTATCGTCACGGCCTGACGACAAAGAAAAGAACTCGTGTAGCACAGCATCGAATCGGTAAAGTTCTATTTGTAGAGAAGGGAAGGCAGAGCAGACGGGCAAAGACACCGAAAACCCTGTCCGGTGCTCCGCGGCGACAAGAATGGCCCCGCCCTCCGTAGTCGTCGTGCACTCGTGCTGCCCGGGGCGCGATGCCGATTTGCTGGCCGCCGCTCTTCCGCGTAGGTTTCGGTCGGAAAGAAGCGCCGCTGGCCCAACGCTTTCCTTCGTGTCGTCTTCGCCCGATTCCAACGAGCGGATCCTTTTGGTTCCCGCTCCGAGCCACGGATCCGCTTCCGCGAACGAAAACGAAAACGATCTCGAATTGTTCGAGACGGTCTCGCTCGCAACGAACCACCACGCTCCTGTCAGCAGCAACAATAGCAACACAAACAACAACAGGAGGAAACAAAACCGGAACAAAAGAGCCACTACGTCGTTTGCTTGCTTGGTTCTGGACAGCCGCGAGGAACTAAAATCGATGGTGGAAATCATGGCAGGGCAGGATGCGCTGGCAGTGGAGGAGACAAAAATAAGATCGGGTGAGCCTCCGGGATCGTCCCTTCCGCTGGCAAAATGCTTGCTTCCCGGTGGGTGCCTTGTCACCCTGTCTGTGGCTCCGCTTTGGACCACCCAAGAGCTGCAGCACGGGGTTGTGGAGTTTATGACGACCGAACCCTCGGCGACCGCAACCCCTCGGCATTCGGGATCGCCGTCTTTGTCGAGCAGCAACAGTGCCCGGTCGAAATCGTCGTTTTACATGAAGCGAAGCGCGTCGATGCCAGAAATGGTGCCTCCGATGGTGACCACAAATAATGCGGGCACCGACGGGAAAAACCACCACAACCTCCGACGAAAGAATGCCGTTGTCATTCCCACCCTAGAAACAAAGGTTCTATCCTATAGTGGACAGCACGTCGCGTTTCCATTGAATACCCAGGCACCCGTTCCGATCGAAACCGAGCTCTTCAAGGGGAAGCTACTCCTGATTTGCCGACCGAGCGAGGATCCGGCCAAAACGGATCCCTACTGGAACGAACGAATATTTTCCAAAAAGAAACGACGGGTCGTAATGCAGCTACAGGGAAAGCTCAAGTACAAACCGACCGGGACGGTCTTTGCCGGGATGGAGATTTCCAATCCGATGAAACTTGGGCTCATTGCGAACGGATTGTGCAACCTTATCCTCAAGCTCATTAAAAACCAGGGCCTTCACTATTCCTTTGGGACGAAAGACGAAAGGGCACACATTTGCTTTCCGGCTTCGGCCTTTTTCGATTCCTTTGTTGTAACCAAGCCCGGAGAAGCACTCCCGGCCATGGGAGGCATCGACATCAAGGGCGAATCCCCTGAGACGGTCGCCGCGAGAAAGGCCTACATGACCAAGATAGACTGGAACACGGACGACACCTACACCATGTCCTTTCATTCCATGTACGTCGACTTTCCGAGCTGGTCGGTGGTTTCCTTGCCGGGAGGATGGGATGTTCCCCTCCAAACCTTTTGGGGCAACTCGCTTGCCAGCGTCGTCATGTACGAGGTGGGACCCGATGCGGACAATGGTAAACCGCACAAGTCCGCAAACATAAAGTACCTTGTCAGCCTGCAGCTAAAGTCCCTCGGAAAAGATGCCGCCGCGGCTCGTTTGAACGCAGCTCTTCTCGAACAGAAAGACGACGGAGACGAAACCAGCGAATGGGGGAGCGAATATGGTGGAGGGGAGTCGATATCGACCATGGGCGACGTGGCGCTCATGCCGGCATTCGACGAAGACGACACCGATTACGAACACGAAAACTCCGAAAACAACGGCGACGAAATAGACACCACGGAATTCTATGACACGATAGAAAGCCTTCCTCTGGGTGAAACGATTCTAGGCGATCTTTCCTCCACCAGCTCCCACAACATCCTGCTCAGTGCCATTGATGCCTTTTGTCCGTGCTGGATCGAGATGTTTTCCAAGCGTGGAAAGTATGAAACACTGTACGCATTTTGTGGGACAAAATCTACATCGAAGGCCCTATTCCGGTCGGAGGAGATGGCGGAGCGATTCTTTCGGGGCGAGCGAGACGAAGATGCCCGGGTCGACGATCGGTTTTCCCATCGAATCTCAACACTTGAGCGCACCCGACGGATCCTCGGATGGAAGTATGCGGAAGCCCACACCACGGAGCGAGACCAAAAGGACCACCAGGAAAGGCTGCAAAAGTTTCACAAACTGCAGTGTCGGTTCGATGCGGCCTTTCTAAAGCGGAAGGAACCCAGCACAACGAAGGTAACGGGCACCAAATCGGGATTTGTGGCTCGTGCCCTCAGCGATCGGCACTGGAAAGAAGAGAGAATGGTCCTCTGCAACAACAGCGAAGACATTCTCTTCCACCACGCGGAAGGATCCAAGATCCATTTTCGAATCTCGTTGGAGAGCGTCATCAACGTTTCTACTCCAGCAAAGGACAGCGAGCTTGTTCCATTGCCTACGTACCATTACCTAATGATTGAATCATTTGTTCATGTTACGTATCTCATGTTTCGTTCGAAGCAGGAACGAGATTCGTGGCTCGATACACTGCGTACAATACTAGAGGATCGCCGATCGACACAGTCGTTTACAAACGAGCTCTTCGTGTACGACGATCCCGTCCAAGAATTTTTGACGAAGTCCACCATGTGGAATTCACAGAAACGAAAAATTCTAAATTGCCGACGGTGTAGCTTTCGGACTCGCCGTTCGACGACCCCGAAAGAGACCCTGCATCTTGCAGAGCGAGCACTGGCCAAGGTGTTGTCGCTGAAGCCCAAAGGAGCGAGCGATTCGGACCTTTGCGAATTCCTGGATTGCGCATCAGCGCTCAAAGAAGCAGACGCGTATTCTCTGAACGAGGAAGAAAAATGCGCATTCTTCTTGAATATTTATCACACGATGATTATGCATTCGTACATCATTTTTGGTCCACCGGTCTCTGGTACTGAATGGGTGTCCTATTTCAACAACATTGCCTATCAGTGTTCCGACGACATTTTCTCCATAGCCGAATTAGAACACAACGTAATTCGGGCAAAAATGTCGTACCCATCGAATTTCTTATCACGGTTTGTCCTCCCGAAGTCCCAGTATCATTTTGCGTTGGTACGGCCAGATTTCCGGCTCAACTTTGCCCTAAATCCGGGATCATTGAGTATACCGACCTCTTCCGTTCCGTTATACAAGGCTGCGACTTTAAATCAACAGTTGAACAAAACTACGGAGGAGTACCTTGGTTACACTGCTCACGTGAAACAGAAAGGCAAAACCGATGTCCAGATCACACTGCCCCGCGTGTGTCAGTGGTTCGCAGAGGATTTTGGTCCAAACGGTTCGGCCAGCGATGTGATGTTTGCGATCGAGCCCTATCTTAGCAACGAAAAGAGGGAAGTACTTCGATTGATTTGGAATTCCAAGAAGAAGACTTACGACATTAGTATCTTTGGCATGAAATATCTGTCATTTAGTTATGAATGCAGATTTTTAACTGCTTCTTCGAATTAATCCATTAGGCAATTACTGAATCAGCAAGTATTTTTGTGTTAAAATCAGTATAAAAGCATGATGCCATTTGAAATTGTTGATCATGCCCTTCAACCCTGCATGCTATTGTGTTGTGTGCGTTTTGCTAGTATTTAAAGGTGGTTTTCTTCCTTAGTTTTACTGGATTGTCTCAATCCAATGAACTACAAATACTATTCTACTACTACTACTAGCACAAGTACTAGTACTAGTAATGGTTCTTGATACAACAACATCAAGAACTAGTAGTAGTTCTACTAGTGCCTCTATCACATTAAAAAAGTTCAAAAATATTTCCCAATCGTACTTCCCCATTGCTCACCCAAATTATTTTGCAAGAATGATACTCTTGCTCCTTCTTGTTGTACTACTAGTAGTAGCTACTACTAGTAGTACTAGTAGTAATTGAACAACAAGTTGTTGTTGAAGTTAGCACCACCACCAGGAGAGCGCTACTAGTACTAGCTTTTCTAAACTACTACTACTACTACCAGCATGCTCTTGCCATTTCAAATAAGCTGATTCAAATCCATTTGTTGCATGCTTCTATGAAGTCATCAGTCTAATATAGTTCAATAAGCAGAGCATCTACTAACGATAAAATAATGTTTATTTTTATTCTTCGAGCTCACATTTGTACGGTACCATCTTTCATTTAACAAAGATGGATAAAGATACGACATGATGACGCTGATCGTTCGTCGTAATTTGGGATTGAGGCCCGGAAATTAATGTACTAGAAAAACAACATTGGGTCAGAACTGACTTAATATTCCACGGACGATTAAGGCGTAACCCCAAAACTTCATCAAGGCTTTAGTTATTTTTAACGATGATCAAAACGCTTCATAGGACTGCGATGCAAACACGTCGTCAAAAAAATGAAGAAAGAAATCTGTTTCGCTTAGCAACATCAGTAATTGCCTCATTATTTCACTATGGAAGGTAGAACCGAATTCCAAGCTCCAGTTCTTATTCTCCTCGAACATGTGTTTCTTTCACGGTCCCTTAGTTACAAGTCAACACTGCATAGAGAATTTTATCAAGAGCGATCGCACAATATATCAAACAAGATGGGTCACATTTTTCTTTGTTCTTCGAGGAATATTCCCCGCGACGATTTTCGCTGTCCTTTTTTGAGACAGATGACGAAGTTTTCGTTCGGTGTAATTTTGGCTTGACCGAAGACATTGTGGTCGTGAATGTTATTGCATCGTCATAGCGCAGCACACACATTATGAATCGTGCGTCGAGTTCCCTTCTCCTGATGCATGATGGATGCCGAAGCCTATTCTACCGGTCGTTCTCTGCCCATTTATCCGAAGATCTCATAAATTGATGCACAAAGTTTTTGTCAAGTTGGAGCATCAGCAGGAAGAACAAGCCAAAAACAAGGAAGGATTGATCAAGATGATCAGAATGAATTCGATTCTATTTGTGCTCGCCTCTACTATATTGGTCTTCGGATGTGAAAGTCATGCATTCATCCCTCTCTTGCGCAGTGCTTCTACCCTACGACCAGCACCCACATCGGAAATCAGCTATGGTAGAAAAACTGTGGTAGTATCTTATTCGTTTTATCCGGTTGTGGAAGCTGTGGAGCACATCGGTTATGCGGCGAAGGTACTCATTGAGCATGATGTGGGCAAACCACTGGGTTCAATACAAAGAATTATATGCGTCGTCGACCCAGACGTCGAGGCACGATTTCTAGTGGATATCACCCATCTGTTGCTMGACTTTACGGTCATTTTCAATTTTGATGGGGCGCTCTTGAACTTTGCGCAAGTAGTTGGTAGAATTGCTTTCATCGCGATCGACTTCCTCCCTGGGCACGAGTTTCACTATGAAGAAATGGCAGTGCAGCTCGTGCTGCTGGGAGTAAGTATAAAGAGAATGGCATTCGCTGAGACAAAAGATTCAACTCCAAGTGCCTTGGAGAAATTCGACCAGTTGGATCACGTCGGACAAGAAACACAATGCGCTACCGATACTGATTTCAGCACTGTCGATGAAAGCATGTTGGTTGAAGCTTGCGAAGAGTGAACCAAAGTACGAAGACGATTGTCTTCTCGAGGGTTGTCTCCTCCGCGAAGTCTTTCTACGTTCACCCAAACCCAGTCCACCGTGCCGATCTTTCACGTCTGGAACCACAAAGGTAATCGCCAAGCCAAATAATAATCAAGATAGAAGAAGGAAAGATATAGCTTTCATACCAGTCTCCTCGTGATTTATTGGACCCAAGAAGCTTAGATTCTCAATCGTGGAACCTGCCGACACTTACTGTATTGGAGAATCTGCAGGCGTTTGTTGCTACATGATAGTGTCCGACAGATGAATAGATTGGGGAATAAAGGCATTTTTTCTGATCCGCAAACAATTGCAACGCATTTGTAGTTGCTTCAAACTACTGCCCAAAATAGATAATCGATAGTAATACAGCATGAAACACCAATATCTTGTAAAAATATTTAGCGAAGTTCTTAACAACAGACTGTACATGATGAACACGACTTCTAACAGCAGCGATGGATGTGTTTTTTGGTTAGAACTTGAAGTTCTTGTCCAGTTCGTTGTCGCCGTCGTCCGCGGTGTTGGTCTTTCGCTTCTTGCGAGAGGCACCGTGGCCATCGCCCCCCGGAACCACCGCCTTGGACAGGACGCTCTCGGCACCCTCTGGGACGGCCGCGGCCGAAGCTCCGGGAACCACATAGCGCACGTCGGACTGGAAAATGCCGCTTCCCGCCGCGCCCGCTCCGGTTTCCAGCACCTGGTACAGGCGCTTGGGGGGAGGCGCGGGGGTTTCGTCCCCGGCCGGCTGCTTGCGCAGATCATCGATGCCGCTGGAAGGCGGCGGAGGTGGCGGCAGCGATTCGGTTCCTCCCTCGTCTTCGGCATCGGATTCTTCCATGTCTTCGCCGGACTCGCCCCCGGACTCCTCTTCACTGCTGCTGCTCGAGTCCTCCATGTCTGAGTCGGATTCTTCGCCGGCCCCGTCGCCCGGATAGTCTCCCCCCGTTGGTAGGCCTCCCCAGGCCGACTTGAGGACGGTTTTCCCGTCACTGGTGACCAACTCTCGGCCGTCGTCGTCAGCTCCCCCAGTTCCGCTCCCGGGGGGGTCGAGGGGGTTTCCTCCGTACAGGGGGCGCCCATAGGCATCCAGTGGCGGCTTACCCCATCCGCCGGGGTGGTAGCCGTACTGACACGCGCTGTTTGGTAGCGGCGCGTTCAAGCCGGGAATCTTCAGCTTAGGGTGCGCCGGCGGGGGCCCGTAGCGCTGCATGTTCCACAGCCACGGCGGGGGGATGTTACCCGAGGGATTGTCCCCCATTCCGAGCGCGATGCGCAGCGCCTTGCTGAAGGGCCCACCCGGCTTGATGTCGGTGGAATTTTCCGTTTCCTTCCCTTCGTAGTAGAGATCTCCCCACGACGTCAGGCCGGTTGGTTTGGTTTGGTACTTGAAAAAGGCTTCGTAGAGCACCTTGTAGTCGACGTCCATGGCCCCCATCTTGGGATTGACCCGGCCTCGGTTCTTTTGCTTTATGGATTGGGCGGCCTCGTCCTCCATCGCGGTGTCACGAACGTCGGCGATCCCGGTCTTTATGATAAAGTCGGGCAGCTGGTAGGGAACCTTGTCCAGGCCCCTCTTTCCCTGCAGGTACTTGCGCTTGCGACCCCAGTGAAAGGGCACCGGCGTCGTGTGCGGGATGCTCTTTAGAGCAATCAAAAAGTCGGGATCCGCTGCCGTAACGTCGTGGGCCTCGACCAGATCGGGCCTCTGTACCCGCCGTTTCAGTTCTGCGATGGAGGGCCGGAGCAGTTCGCGGAGTTTCCGCTTGCTCATCTTTGGCTTGCCGTCGTCGTCGCTATCATAGCTGCTATCGTCGTCGGAAACGATGCTACTCTGATCGGCTTCATTGCTATTTCCCGGATCGTTGTTGGAAGTCCCCTCGGAAGCCGAGGGCACCACCGCGGCTCTCTCGTGGAACCTGCGAAGGACGTCTTCGATGCTGTTTTCTTGCTCCTTTATGGACGCGGCCGTTGCTATCTCCTCCTTGGTTTTCCCCCCTTCGCCCTCCGATCCGGGGGCCGGTGGGAGCCCATCCGGGCGGACTTCCTTTGTGTCTGGCGGCGCAGCATCCGAATCTCCCTCTTGAACCGTCGATTTGTTCAGGATTTTCGAAAGGTCTTCAGCAACGTATTCGATTTCGATCTCTTCCTCACCGGCTCCCTCTTCTTCCGCTTTTGCAGCGCTGAGTTCTCTGGCATGCTTCTCTTCGAGTTCCCGTTTTCGCCGCTCCTCCTTTTCCCTCTTTTTGCGCTCACGCTTTCGCCGGTTCTTCTCGGCGGCAGACAGAGCCATCTTTCAACTAAAACCCTACCGTTGACTTATCCTTTTGCAAAACGTACTCCTTGTTTGAGTTGGACTTGTTGCTATGATAAAGCCTTTGCGTTCGTCGTCTCTAGCTCCTATGGATGTGCCACGGTCTTTGTTGTTTGACCTCGTAGTGTGTTACAGTATTATTGGTGACGTCTACGTCTAAGTCTTAGAACCAGACTTGACGTGTGAGGGTGATATTAGTCCTTTAATTGTCGACAAACTGTTACAAAAATTGCGTTGTACCGGTACAGTTACCGCTACAACTCCCGGTGCTCTTCGAAGTATCGTACCGGTGGGTTTTGCGCTACAGTATCCTTTCAATCTTGTCTGTCCTTTGTACGTTTTCCAAATAATCCTTAATGATGAAGGGGAGAATAAGGTTTACTGTACGAAGGTGCTTGTAGTATTTTGAATTTGTAAGCGTGCCGGCGCGAATCAAAAATCTCCCCGAAGACCGAAGACTGAAGACTACAGTGTCCTTTTCGGATGCTGGTATGGTATGGTAGCAACCCTTAAGACTGAAACATGGTACAGTTCGTACGACGGATACGGTGTGGTTACCGTACCGTTAGAACAAGCACTGATTACCAGGCGGATACAGTGCCGTATCGTAGTTCTAGTTCACAACAAAGTATCGAGCGAGGTCACTTCGTACCGATAGTGCGAACGCAAACAATATTTCATACCAGACCATGGCGGAAGTTCGAGCCGCGCATCTGCTCATCAAGCACACGGGGAGGTAAGACAAGACGGAACTACACTGTCGAGGTGCCGCATTCGTTCTGTCGAAAATAGCTCTCACGAAACCAAACCGAACGCTCGTCTTTCTCTTGTTCGTCTTCCAAACCAACGAACGACCGCGCATCATCCCATCTTCTTGCACTAGCCGCAACCCTGTCAGCCGGAGGACCGGGAAGGAAATCACCCTGACTCCGGATCAGGCCATGGCCGAGCTGAAGGAATTCGAACGCAGGATCCGGGCCGAGGGGATCGTCGAGACCTTTCCCGGCTACGCGGGGCAGCGGAGCGATTGCAGCTCCTTCCGCAACAGCGGCGACCTGGGGTTCTTTGGGCGGGGGCAGATGCAGGAACCCTTCGAAAACGCCGCCTTTGCACTCCGGAAGGACGAGATGAGCGGGATCGTCAGCACCGACAGCGGATACCACCTCATCTACCGGATCGCGTGATGCAATGGTCGTTGGAGCTCCGCAGCAGCGGATTCTGTAGTCCCGTGCAATCGCGGAGCAGAAACGCGGGGAGAATCAGCAGGAATCTAGCTGTGTAACACAGTGGAAGCAATGGTTCAATCGATCAGGTCMTGTTTTCTTTTGGAAACAAAACCGAAGAAATTCGTTCCAAAGGAAATCTTTCAAAAACACAGACCTCCGCTATAAAACTTCACGTTGTGTCACCAAGCTAGTGCTGTATAGGTTGCATGACTGTGTTTACCAACATTATATTTTTGAAGTTTACAGTAGACAAACAAGTGAATGAACCATACTATTATCAAAGTTACTGTATTGCTGTTTACATACCACAAGTTTTCACTCGTTCCCATATGCTATTCGAGATGAACCCGATCGCAAGCTTCCAAATAATACTACCAAACACGTATGGATCGATCGAGTGGATCTACTTCTTCTGTGCGTGGTCCCCGAGTCATAATTCACAGAATGCTCTTCACGAGCTCTTCCGTCTCCCTAAGTACGCTATCAATATCCGAATAGGATCTCGAGACAACCGTTGGCGATCCATCGTTGCTTCCCGTTCTGCTCACCATCGCAATCGGGGAAGGAGAATCCTCGTGATGGATCACAGTCGGGACAAAAACGTTTGATTGCTTGATATTGGACGCGTTTTGATTCACTGCAGCCTCTGTGTTAACAACTAAGTTCGCCGGATTGTTCTTGGTTTCGGTGAAGAAAAGATCTGAATTCATTGACAATGGACTGGGCCCATTATTTTCTTGCTGCTGATGAAGACGATGGACCTCTCCTTGCGATGGCATCGAATGCGGTGTCTGGGTAGTGTGAACATGGAGGTGGTTCCGTTCTACACCTGTTGTTGGTACCCCCAGTGGTGCTCCTGCCCATTTGGGGTTTCCATTCACGATGCGTCGTCGGTTCTCGAAAGCAACGTTGCAATCCCTTTGCAAGTTGCTCAGTAATACTTCTTTCTCTGATTCCCATTGATGTCGCTGTTTTTCTAATTCTCCCTTGTGTTTGGCGCTTAGATCTTTCTGGTGCATCTTCATCTTGCGATTCAGGTCTTCCACCGTTCTCTCCAGTGCATGCCGCCGTCCCTTCTCCCGTTCGTGATTGTGAGAAACGCGTGCGATTCGGGTAAGCGCTTCCTCAAGGGACTCATCCGATTCTTCTTGCAATCTCCCGTAGTCCTTCTGGAGTTGGGAAATGCGTTTTCGGTGCTCTTCCTCGACCTCCTCAAGACGGCTCTCGAATTGACGATTGAGCTTGTCCGCAAGTTCTTCGAGATCCGCCCGTCGCTTGCCATCAAGTTGCTTTGTGACCTTCTTTAAGGCATCGGCATGGTCGGTTTCTAGTTTCTGAATGCCAGCATCGCGATCTGCCTTCAGCCGCGCCAATTCTCGTTTGTGTCCACGTATCAGATGAGCACGTTCCGCGGAATCTCGAAGACGAGCCAGGCGATCGGCAATGGCTGTATCCAGCGTCTGAGGTGGACCCAATGTAGATTCCACAGATGCCGTCGTGCTTCCAAAAATCGCTGTTCTGGTCCCCCTCATCTGAGACGACGGAGAACTCATGTTCCGAACGGCCGAGCGAACCTTTGGCGTGAGCTCTGCCCTCAATCGGTGCATGGCCTCGTTGGCCCTGCGAAGTGATTCGTTGAGTCGTCTGATGTCAGAATCACTCGATGTACGCAGCTCTTGTAGTTTCCGACGCTCGTTGAGCAGCTCCGCTTCGATATTTTTGCCGTCCGAGGCAGCGCGGTCCCTTTCATTTGTTGCCTCTGATAGCTCCTTCTGAACTGTTTCCAATTTTTTTTCTAATTCCATGCGTTCCGATTGGGCTCGAGCCAACTCGGCAGCGATTTCCCCCTTAGCTGACAAAGTATCCTCTAATTCGTCATTCAGTTTGTCGAGTTGTCCCTTGAATTCCTTGTGCCGATTATCCCCCGCCAAGGTCCGGTGACGCAATTCCTTGATGGTTCGGGCAGACTCTCGTGCCTGCTTTTCCAGGTCGCGTTTTTGTTTGACGAGTTCGTCGCGTTGCTTTTCGGTAGCCTCGTTGTTGTTTTTGAGACGTCTGTGGTCTTGACGAAGGCGATCTAGATCGGTGCTTTTTTGAAGCTCCGTTGCCTCTAAAGTAGTTAACTGCTGTCGCAAGTCTTGCTCTTCCTGTTTCCACTTCTCTTGTTCTCGAACTAGTTCTTCATTTCGTTGATTCGATTTGACGAGCTCTTCCTTGAGCTGCTGGAGTGCATTCAAGGCAGATTCGTGGACCCGCACAACATCGTCGCTTCCGATATTCTCGTGAATGTTTTCGAGCCCTCCCCACGTTCGGGAGCTGCCCCTCCCATGTTGTTCTTTTCCTGGTTGCGAACGCACACCACGCGAAGATCCCATGGAACGGCGAGAGGGCGAGCGGGCATCGGATCTCAGGGACCGCCGTGCACGATCTGCAAGGGACTGATCCTCAAGGTTTTCGAAAAGAGTATCGGATTCTCCCCCCTCTGTACTGGCGAAATCGTGATTGAAATGTTTGTCAGGGTCCGTTGGATCGGTTTGGTCGTCCTCCATGTAGACCTCTCGAATCGGAGGGGTCTTCTGAGAGTTTCTATTCTTTCGGACACCATGCGATTCCGATGTTGGAGCCGATGGAAAATAATTGTTCTGTTCCCGTTGCTGTTTTCGTCGCGCTTGAGACAGAGACAAAGCTGCGGTTTGTGAAGCCTCGTTTTGAGCGTTCGTAGGGGTTCCCATTATTGATTCTGGGGGTTGGGAAAAAGGAGAGGGAGGTTCTAGACCCAACGAGGGAAGGGTGCCCACATCGTCAATCGAAAGGGACAACACCGTACTGTTCAATAGCGTAGTTTGGTACTGCCCGTGGCTTTCTGATCCAGAAGGGGGCGATCCCATCATCATTGCGAGCGCCGATGGCTGATTCGTCGGTGGCGGAGGACGGAACGAGTTCGGAACAGGCGTAGGTTCAGAAGAATAAGATTCTTCCTCCTCCACTGACCTGGGGTGCCGCTGCTGCTGCGTATCCGCCAGCATCATTTCTTGGGATATATACTTCCCAACTACGCAAAGAGATCTGAGCGACGAAAACAATCAATGACAACTCTTTGCCGACAAACCAAGTCTTCTGTAGACGAATAGGGAAGCGCTGATCGAAGATCCAGAGAGATTGCTGCCGTTCCTTCTTACAGTATTGGATAGGAGATGTTGCCTTGCACTGGTGCCGAACTCGTATCGTACCTCTTTCGTAACATCGTTTTCTTGGAGGCTGGAATGAGACACCAATTTCAAATTCGACGAGGCTTTCGCCGTCTCCACCTTTTTCCGTTGAAGGATTTTTGATTTTCAATTTTTAAAACTCATGACAGTTTTAAGTACCGTACGGTACTACTGTATTAAGATTAAGGATTACGAATTACGAAGTACAGTACCGTACTGTACTGTACCCTACTTCTACTGTACGGTACGCAAATGACTGACTACGATATTTCGCAGCGCGCCAACATTTTCTACGAAAAAATGAAAATGATCTGTGCTCACCTTACTTAGCACATTGGGTACGTACTCGTAGCGGTACGAGTAAATTGTACGGACGTACTTCGATGTACCGGATACGAGTACGAGTTCGTTCTTTTCGGAACTCAATGCAATCACGCCACGAATGCTCTGCCTAACAGGATAGGAGCTAATAATGGTGTGGTAAGTAGACAGTATATACTCGTACTACGTACCGTACGTAATATCAGCTGATGTAGTACCGGTAAGTTCCTCCTCGTGGTACAGATATTTTTGTCATGCCTCTTACTACAAGTAGTACTGCTTGTAATACTTTTTGTATGTAGTTTAACAAATTGTTCTTTCATTTTCTAATAAAATTTTACCAGACCTCGTCTGCTCTAGGAGATATGCATGTCAGTCACCTCGTTACGAGAGTCTAGTAGTTACTACTAGTAGTAATACTATTGAAAGGACTTGTCCTGCCAGTCCTCGAAGGACTGCCCGGTGGTTCTCCAAAACTCGTGTGCTTCACGCACACCGTCCCATTGGAACTTCGGAGCGAATATACCGTTCCCGTCGTAGTCTTCGGCTGTTTCTCGTTTCCACACCTCTGCAAAAGGGCCGGCTTCACGGTCGCTCAGGATCCGGTACGCCTTGCTTTCGGGCACGGTCAGGACGAACGACAAGACCAGCTCCTGCGAGAGGTCCGGTATCGTCCAATCGACCATTGCAAATCGGCGTGCGACCGCCGATGCTTTTTCCACTTGTTCCACATCTTTCATTCCAAGAATTGTGCACGGAACGCTCGGATGCGACATAGAAAACAAGAGCGCCAGAATGGCAATGTCCACATCCAAGTCACGGCATATGCGGGCAGCTTCCAAGCAGGCTTTCGCCAACTCGGAACCATTTGCAGGGTGCCAGTCCGGTGGTATATTATTCGTTAGGAGCCCCATCGAAAGAGGGGCCGCCGCCAGCAGTCCCATCCCGCTCTGGTGGCAGCACTCGGCGAAGGACTCACACGACGGAGAGATTCGGCGCCGTACAAGGCTGGCGTCGTGAAGGTTGAAGTGCCCATAGGTTAGTGCCTGGTCCCAGATCCGCACGGATTCCTCACCCCCGTATGTTTCCAGCGAGTGCTGCAGGATTTGGTACTGGACTTCCAGTGGATATCCCGTCAGCCCGAGTGCCTTGCACCAACCATTGGAGCGACATTCAACCATGGCGGGTATGGTCTCCTTCAGGAGGATCTCCAGAGTGGGAGAAAATTCTGGATCGTGCAGCTGTAGCACGTCGATATATCCGCAGTTCATACGTTGGAGACTTCGCTGGACAGATTCCAGCGTCGCGGTTCGAGAAAAATCGAACTGATGGGTGGGATCGGCCTCGTATCGACCAACCTTGGTGTTGACGCACAAATCTTCCCGGTCGATTAATTTGGAATTGCTGCTGTCAGCGTCAGACCCCGACAACGATTCTTTGAGGGCCCACCCGACGACGATTTCTGACGTCCCGTGCCCGTACCAGGGGGCGGTATCCAGCAAAGATATTCCACAGTCTAGGATTGCGTACCGAATCGTTTCGATCCATTCTTGTACTTTTGGATGATCTCGAGTCAACGCTTCGGCCGTGATTGCAGTTTTCGTTTGGCCGTCGTTTGTTTCTGCCGCAAGCTCCTCGTTGGTCCAAAAGAAGCTGGAAAAGCTCGAGCATCCCAAACCAATTATCGGGACCTTGGAGGGCAACACCGCCGCGCTTGTCTCTTTCTTTTGATCGCTTCGAGAGCAAAGGAAAGCGCGCTTGGGCACTGAACTCCTGCACCTTTCCGTCATGATAGAATCTATTTTAAGAGTTGTTGGCAAGTACAGTTGTTGCATCTTCTTACCGACCAATTATGAATCGAACATGATGGAGCGGTATGTTTTTATTGTATCAGCCGTATCTTCCGTTTGATTGAGACAATCGATGTCATGTCATGTCATTGGTACGTAGGTATGATCACTATGTAAATATTACATAATGGTACATATCTATTGTACACACAGTCATAGTTCATACAGTAGTTCATACGGATGACGGAAGGTCGCGGTAGAAAACGACGCGTGGCCAATCTCTCGTATGGCGCCACGCGTAGCCTCCTTTTTTCGCGCGGTAATCAAATCTGAGATTTTTTTGAAAGAGCGTATGTTTCCAACATCGAAACAGCTTTCCATCGAAGTCTAAAATCAAATCCTTGTTCATCACCAAGAGATTATGGATCCCACACGATAGGCATCCCCAAAACCGATACAATTCAGTGTTCCCAGAATATCAAATTCCCAGAATATCAAACACAGTAGAATACAAATAGACCAAGAGCACAGCACGAGGAAAGAACACACTAAAATATAAGCAAGATGAAAACTGTTTCGGTTTTTGTGTTCGCGTCCTTATTGGCTAACGCTGAGTCGTCTTCCTTGTTTGGCGTTCGGCATTTCGGAAAGGCGTTAGGCGCAACATCTACGAAGCAGCAAATCGGTGACAAGACTGTTGAGACGCAAGATGCTGTTCAGTCTCAGTTATGCGATGCTATCAAACTCAGGGGTGGAGGTGATGGTTCAATTTCAGGCCCTTGCATCGGGATCGATTTGGGAACAACATACTCGTGCGTCGGTGTCTGGAGAAACGACCGCGTAGATATTTGTGCAAACGAACAGGGAAACCGCATCACCCCGTCTTACGTTGCCTTCCCCAAGGATGGTTCGTCCAGTGGGGGCCGCTTGGTAGGAGATGCGGCCAAAAACCAAGCTTCTCAAAACCCCACTGGGACTTTTTTTGATGTCAAACGACTAATCGGACGGAATTACGACGATGCGACCGTGCAAAAAGACAAGAAGCTTTTTCCTTTCGAGGTTGCAAAGGACAAAAACGCCAAACCAATTGTCCGCTTGCCAAAGGAAATCGGTTCTAAATTCCCAAAGTCAGATTTCACTCCTGAAGAAATCAGCGGAATGATTCTACGAAAAATGAAAGAAACCGCCGAAGCCTATCTCGGAACGGAAGTCAAGCATGCCGTAGTGACCGTCCCCGCATACTTTAACGACGCCCAACGGCAGGCAACGAAAGATGCCGGGACCATCGCAGGCATGAAAATTGAGCGTGTTATCAACGAACCCACAGCCGCTGCCATTGCGTACGGACTCGACAAGCAAGACCACGAAGAAAACATTTTGGTCTTTGATTTGGGTGGTGGAACCTTCGACGTGACACTTTTGTCCATTGACAACGGCGTTTTTGAGGTCCTTGCCACGAGTGGTAACACCCATTTGGGAGGAGAAGATTTTGATTATCGACTGATGGAGTATTGCATCAGTCAATTCAAACGCAAGTCGGGGATCGATATCTCCAACGACAAACGTGCCGTGCAACGGCTTCGAAAGCAATGCGAAAACGCTAAACGAACACTGTCGACGCAAACCAGCACTATGATCGATTGTGAGGCCTTGTCGAACGGGGAAGACTTTAGCCTAACGCTCTCTCGTGCAAAGTTCGAGGAACTGAACCTCGATTTGTTCAAGAAGACACTGACACCAGTCACCCAAGTATTGAAAGACAGCGGACTGAGCAAAAACCAAGTCGATCAAATCATTTTAGTGGGTGGTTCCACTCGTATCCCCAAGGTTCAAACCCTGTTGTCAGAATTTTTTGGAGGAAAGAAACTCAACAAGTCTATCAATCCCGATGAAGCGGTGGTACGTAAAAGAAGCATTTTTACCTCGTGCTTGTATTTTGATTATAACGATATTGCCAGTGACGATACCAAATGACGCTTGGCTACTGACGAGAGACTAGGAGGCCGGAGTAGTTACCGGGTCCACCTTCTTTTCTCTCTTGATGCTACCAGTCATAATATTTCGGAGGCGCTTCCTTTTCCTTGTCCTACCGACGGCAATGGTAGTAGTTGATGCTTACCAATTTTCTTTTTCTTCATTCTTTTTAGGCCTACGGTGCGGCAGTTCAAGGTGGAATCTTGAGTGGTGATGCGGCCGAAGCGACAAAGGATGTACTTCTATTGGATGTTGCTCCTTTGTCCTTGGGAATCGAAACTGCGGGTGGAGTCATGACGACTTTGATCAAGCGTGGGACTACAATCCCTGTGAAGAAGTCACAAATATTTTCTACTTATGCAGATAACCAACCGGGTGTCAATATCCAAGTTTTCGAAGGAGAGCGCGGGATGACAAAATCAAACCGTCTTCTTGGACAATTCGAACTCTCCGGTATTCCTCCGGCCCCTCGTGGTGTTCCGCAAGTCGAGGTCAGCTTTGATGTCGATGCCAATGGTATTTTGAGCATTGGTGCACACGACAAGGGTACAGGAAAGCAGGAAACGCTTACAATTACGAGCGAAAAAGGAAGACTCTCCGATGAGGAAATTGAGAGAATGGTTCAAGAGGCAGAGGAATTTGCCGAAGAAGACGCGAAGGAAAAGGCAAAGATCCAAGCGAGGAACGAGTTAGAGGCTTATTTGTACAACTTGAAAAACTCGGTAAACGACTCTTTGGAGGGCAAATTGTCCGAAGATGAAAAGGATCAATTAAATACTGCCATTAACGATGGCTTGGATTGGTTAGAAGATCATCCCGCTGCGGAGAAAGAAGAGTGCGACTCAAAACAAAAAGAAGTCGAGAGCATTGCCAACCCGATTCTGAAGAGAGCATACGAGAGTAGTGCTGGCGCTGCTGGGGGAGCCGATGATGATTTCTTGGGCGAAGATCTCGATGGTGTCGACGATGGTCCTACCGTCGAAGAAATGGATTAGTCACATACATTTCGCCGCGCATTCTTGCTGCATGGCGTAGACGCAATGTGCGGGCTAGTGATCGTGTACATGCTTCTTAAAATCCCGGTATCTACAAAGAAGCCAGGAGTAACCGCTAAGTAACTTGAAATATTCAAAATGCGACATGCTTGTTTTCTCAACAAAGAGCCAAAAGGGGCTCTTCATTTGATAGACAACTATTTGTGGGCATTTTCTGTGATTGCATCTCTCAACATCAAGCATTATGAAATACTTCAACCAAGATAATGACAGATATTTTGGGAACTTGCTTCACATGAAGTAAATATAATGTTCGGTAGCAATAAAGAGAAAAGTGATAAGAACCTCTTCTTGTGCAAGTCATGATCAAGAGTCTATGGAGTGTAAAAATTGGATGTCTGATTTGAAATTTCAAAAGTGAAATAAGATCAATGTTCTGCTTATTAAATTGCTTATTTTGGGTTGAATTCATCTATTCAAGTCAAATATATGTATGATGTCATAAAAGCTATTAATGAAATTCCAACAGGGCATTGTTGGTACTACTAGTAAGCTGATTTCAAAACTCTTGATCAAAATAATCAAAAAGGTCATTTCAGTATCAAAATCTTGCATACTTCCTACATCATTTCCATGAGTATCAGGAACATCATAATACTATTTTTGGTATTGTCAATTCTTGCTGCTGGTACTTGGACTAGTAGTACCAGCAGCAATTCCAAAACATGCCATTGTGGAGTACTATTGATTTAGCTTGTATCCTTAGTAGTAGCTGTTATTCCAATGTTTTAATTCAGAGTTACTACTACTACTACTTGTCCTACTAGCTAGTGGAAGTACTAGTACTAGTAGTACTATTTGTTGTAGTCCTTGATCCTCTCTTCAAAACGAAAAGTGTCAAAAGATATTACAGCGTGAGACCTGGATGTTCCTGGCCACTCGTTTCTGACTGCTTCGCGAGTCAAGCCAAACAAGTAAATTGCGAGGAACACCGCGCTATGCGATACGGAAAATCCCTACCAAATCATCATTTTTAATGGATGCTCACGATCACACAAAAAATCTTTCGAGTAAATCAGGAGACCTGTGCTTCCGCTAGTTCCCTACTCGTACCGTACGCGCTATCTTCCTACGTGGAAACGAGAAGATGACTGCACTACGAGTACTAATCACTTGATGCTTGATGGTGTTGATAGAATGGATTTCATTTATCCATAACCAGCCATCGAAGCATAAAGATATCTGTCAAATCCTAAACTAAGATGTCCAGTAACGATGCAGTGAGCAGCAATAACAACAGCGAGGAGGAAATCCTTCGCAAAAAACTGAAACCCGATCCTACTGCCGATCAAGTTATTGACGCCGTCCGTACATACTTTTACGGCGGAAAGGAGGACGTGGAGATCAAGCTCAAGAAAGAACTGGAAAGCTATGACGATCGCAACTTTTGGATAACTGTGGATGGCACCGATTACTTGGCAAAGGTCCATAATGGGGTTGAATCGAGGGACTTGATCCAGTATCTGCAAAATGATGAAAAGGAAGATAATAGCTATAAAAAATCAGCCATTCATCTGCAGAATGCCATTATGAAACACTTGAATAATTGTGGGATCTCTACAAACATACCTCAGGAACCTATTGCCACAGAGAACACGTCGTCATCTACTCCTGTTGCCGTGGTGTCACTCCCGGTCCACTCGAAGGATGATTCACCTACTCCCTTGGTGCTACGATTGCTGGGGTGGGTGAGCGGGAGACCCATGAGTGACCACCACATGCTGCCAATTGAATGCCTGGCGGATGCCGGTCGCTTCCTCGGGAATTTAAGCGTTGCGCTCTCGTCCATACCAGACGCTGATCACTTGCAAGCAGCGAAACGATACCATCAATGGGACGGGAAGAACACCGCAGATCTTCGAGACTTTGTCAAGTACGTCACCGACGAGCGGAGACGATCCATCGTGAATAGTGTGATCGATGCCTTCCAAAAAGACCTAATCGATAGCAAGGTAGCGGAAACTTCTTTCAAAAAATCGTTGATCCACGCAGACTTCAACGACGCAAACTTTTTGCTCGGCGACGACTTCTGCGTTTCGGGGGTGATCGATTTTGGCGATTCTGTAGAGAGGTGAGAAGAAATTCAGTTTTATTTGTCGTCGTTTGTTGTGTATTGCCGCGCTGTTGGCTGTACAACCGAGCTCGTGTAAACTAGAGAATCCTTCTTGATCTCGTATCTGGAAGATATGGATGTCGACCGATTGACAAAAATGTTGTCGGAGGCATCCTTTTCTTTCCAACCGTGTTGGATTCTTCAAAACTTAGAGCTACAAAAAACCACGGATTAAAGCCCCGGATCGTCAACGCTATCATGGACATCCTCGATATGGAAAAAGATCGATAGGTGGATAATGTCATGACGACGGCGGTCAAACATTCTTAAAAAGAGATTGATAGTTTTGTGCTTTTTCGATACAACTTCCGCAAGCAAAAACTCCAGGCGCCATACTGTTGACTCACAAGTTTTGTTCTCTTCTGGTATGATTGTGATTCATCTAACAGCTGGAACATTTTAGATTTGTCTGTAGCCATGGCCTATGCCATGCTCAACGCATTTGGGAAACACCAACGATCGCTGGCTGCCGCTGCGGCCGTGCTGCGTGGATACAACTCGGTTCGCCCCATTGGCCCGGAAGAGCGCCGGTACCTGCCGCTCTTGATCGCCTGCCGATTGTCATGTAGTGCGACCCTGGGGGCGTACTCCTATGCCCAGAACCCCGGAAACGAATACCTGTTGCTGCACGCGACTCCGGCTTGGAACGCATTGGAGCTCATCTGGGGAACCGATCCCGAGCGCAGATCGTCTGTGCTGGAGACCGTGCAGGAGGTCTTTGATCTGGCGTGCTCCTCGTGCGAGACCGACAAGAAGACCCGGGTCATCGGTTGCACTGATCTGAATTTCCCAGATCCTTCGGTGCCGGACCCGCTGGCAGGAGCCCGCAGTCGGAAGCGAAAAGAGATGGAATAACAAAATGAAGCAATGCCCAAATGGTTATAGATCAGCACTAATAAAATTAGAAATCAATCCCATTTCTCTATACATGTTCATTTCTGTCAAGGAGCTTCGCTATTGAAGATTACTAGTGTGTCAAAGCAAAGATACATTGAGTTATCATCCTTATTCTGAGTTACGTCTCGCAGGTTGGCCCATTGAATCCCTGTGCTGTCAAACCGCCATCCACTCCCAAAACCTGCCCCGTGATGTAGCTCGATGCAGGCAAACACAAAAATACGATTGGATCCGCAACCTCTTCCGCTGTCGCCAACCGACCCATCGGTGTCCACGCATCCACTTTGTCTAGCTGGGATGGGTTCTTTGCAACTGCCTCCTTGAGCATTGGTGTCATCTGGGCGAATAAGTTACAGTATAGTTTGCATATTGTTTTTTTAATGTGTGGCATGAAATGAACAGATGGATTTCAAAATGAACGCAATGCAACGCAAACCGCACCAAAATCAAAACAGAGCGAATCAAGTTGTACGAGTGAGATCCTAGCTGTAAAAGTTACGAGGTAACCCCTCTTATAATCGGTTTGACTCTATCTCTTTCGCTTGGACATTAACACACAACACATATAAAATAGAACTCACCGTCATCCACGGTGTCACGGCGTTGACACGAATGTTCCGACCGGCCCATTCGCAGGCCAATATGCGGGTGAACTGGTTGATCGCTGCCTTGGTCATTCCATAGACGGCTCCGGTACCGCTCGATTGGACCCCCGCTGCCGACGAGACGTTGACAATTGTGCTTCCCTCGGAGGAAAATAGATTCGAGAACATACGTGACAAAAAGTAGGCTCCCTCGACGTTGGTGCGCATCATTGCGTGGTATTCCTCTGGCGTCTGTTCCAGGATGGGTTTTCGAACGTTGATTCCGACGTTGTTGACGAGGCCGTGGACGGATGCCTCAGTTCCAAAGACTTCCTTAGCGGCTTCCACGAGAATTTTGCGTCCGCCCTCTGTAGAAATGTCGCATGCCACGTGCTTCAGGATGGGTGAGCCGTCGCTGTTCCCGGGTGCGTAGGAAAACGCCGGATCGAGTCCTAGCGATAAGGTGTATGCGTCGAAATCGCAGGGCGATAGGGAGCAAAACAAGACGCCACTCGCTTCGTGGTTCAGAAGCGATCGGACGACGGCTTTTCCGATCCCTTTGGATCCCCCGGTCACGACAAAGTTGCGTCCTCGTAGCGACCAACGCGATGGTATAGTGCTGCTGCCTGTTGGATTTCCGGACATGATGTACTGAAATTAATAATAGATCGTAGCTGTTATGATTTTGCAATAGGACCAAGAATGTTTGTTTTTGTTGTTTGTTGAAGTATTGTACTTGTTTATTTTATGATACAGTACGAACAACGGTATCGACAAGTGAGAAAGCAGCAATCGAGAAACAACGGAAAGAGGAGCGAAGAATTCAGTTTCTTCCAAAGAAGGCAATCAATCTGTCACCAACAAGATCGCGTTGTGATTGATTGAATCGAATCAATAAATCAATCTAGTCTATTACTGTACGTACTACTAGTAGTGAAAGACTGGAACGCGATTCAATTCAATTTTCAATCGTGCGCAGAAGCTCCAGAAGTCGCGCCAAGTGGTGGTACGTGTTGGTTTCCGTAGAAGTAGTACTATTATTTTCAAACAATCACTCGTACGTTGCTAAGAAGTGTTTTTTCTCTCCTCTCGTCGAATGAAAATCTCTGTCGTCATCGAAACCAACACCATGGACTCCCTCACCGGCCTTGTGCACTCCTTTCTCATGCACAACAACAAAATTCGTTCGAAGGCCGCCGTCATACGATATGGTCCGATCACACTATACGGTATATAGAACAACGCCCGTGACTTTGACTCGAGACACCAACTAACAAATTAGAGAATTCAAGTCGAAACCGAGACAAGACGCAGATCCCGTATGATGATGCTGTCCTCTACCCGATCAATTGTCGCATCAAAGTTGCTCCTTCAACTACTCGTTGGTTGGAAAATGGAATCATCGGTCGCCTTTGTTCCCACCACCCGGTTGGTTTCGACCCGTGCCGGCGAGATCCCAGCGACCACCAGCAAGCAGCTAGCTACCGATAGCGCCGGAGACGCCCCGGAGTTTGGTGGTGCTCCCGACAACGAGAAAGAAAGCAGCAGCAACGACGACTCGCCGTCGTACGAAATGGGGACCGTCAAGGTCAACGACGGCGGATCGGACCTCACGGATCGGTTCAAGTACAAGGTACACGCCCTCATGGGCGATTTCGATCCGGTGGAAGGCACGGCGAACGACGAGACCCAGGACGGGAACATCATGAGCGCGCTGGTCAAATTTCCGATGCAGCACACCTTCGACGTGGTCGGAAAGGTTTCCGCTAGCACCGGCGACGATGGTACCAACGACTATGCCGCAACCGTCAAGCAAATCATCTTTGAAACGACCGGGGATGAAAGCATCGAGTGCGACGTAATTCCGAGGGGGAAAAAATTCATCAAGGTCCGCTGTAGGGCAATGGTAGAATCCACGACGATGATCAATTCCATCTACGACGAGCTGGGGGAGATGGAATCGACCGTGATGAAGTTCTAGGGTGATGGTCGTCCAGAGTTGAACTTCATCGCAATCGCTGGGTGGAGAAAAGAAGCTAAAGCACCAAATTTGCAATTGTTGGTCGCTTCCGAAAATGTTTACCTGGAATACGATTTATTATTTGCGAAGAGAGAGGTGTCATGGAAAGATCACTTGCGTCGACAATTTCATCCACACTGCAACGCGCATCCTTTTGTTCTTAGTGAGAGCAGGGAACTAGCACCAGACAATAAACCAACCCCCACAGAGCTATTCAGCGAAGCATATGATAAATAACGAAGTGGAGGTGAAAGAGAGAAATTGAAAGAAGGCCAAACCTTACAAGTTTAATTTTTTCTTCTGAATGTATATCGTATTTTTTGGCTATCTCCACTCCTTTTGGATCAATAGCCAATCCTTTTGGTCCTCTTCCCGTTTGTGTTGGTTTAAGGTTTAGAACTAATTAATATGAACACGTAACGCACGGGTATCGATAGTCTTTTCTGCAATTGGACGCGGAAGGGGTGAATAAATTGTAAAACTAGGAAAAGTAAGCAAGTGAGTACCATATCTCAACACGGGTTCATTCGAGACTGCAACCGCCGTGCGTGCGCTGAAGTATATGGCAAAAACAATGCCTTGCATGGCGTCGTTCAGGCTCTCTCGCGGAAAGAGGGTCTCCTTCCGATGCCGATTGACTTGAAGTGGATTGATAGATAGATTTGTCGGTTGAATCGAGAACTTGAAGGATCCGAGGCACAAATCTCCAAAAGGATTGTTTTCCCTTTGCATTGTGTATGGCAACTAGTTGATGAATCTTTTCAAAGCGAAACTGCTGTCGATTGGTGATTCGCGATTGGTGAAATGTGAATCCTACCATACATGAGCCGGCGTCACCATCAAGAAACCGAGTATTGCGCAGATTGCTATGGACTCGATCACTCCTTCCTGTACCAACTCCCCGTACAGATTGCTTTTCTCATAATTTGCGACCTTGTCTTCTTCGAGGGATTCGTGGAAAATAATGGGGTCTGCAACGGCCTCGACGCTTGCCGTGGCCACGGGGTCCTTGTCCGGGTATCGGAAAAGATATGGCTCAGGCATGTCGGCTTCGAGCGCTGCCAACTGGAAGTTGAGATCGTCTTCGAGAACCCGCTCCAAGAACAGCATGTCGCTCGAGTATTCGTCGTTTCCAATGGCCATATTTTGAACCCTGTGCTTGTGCAAGTCTGGGAGAGGATTGAAGCGAAAACAAGCAAAAGCGATGGTACAATAAGGGGAGGGAAAGGAACTCGGCTGTTTGATAACAAAATGTAGCAAACAGCGACGAGAAAGACAGGGATAGCAGAGCGCCTCGTTTTCGAGTCGGATTCGTCCCCTTGCGACTTACTATCTCGCATGTTTTCCACTTCTCCGTACGAATACTTTCCAAAGTGGCTTGCAAACTCCTGCGCCTTGTCAATGAGATCGTTCGCGACGCGATCGTGGCGCTCGAAAAGAATATTCATTTCGTCGGACATAACGGTTTTCTTTTCGTCGCTGCTGCTTTTGCTGGGGGTACTGGCCTGGTTCTGTTTGCGTGGCTGGAACGCGCCGGAGCTCTCGAGAAGTATGAGCAGTGACGTGAACCCCAATAGGCGCCCTAGGAATCTTGAGGAGGTTTGAATCATGGTGTTTGGAACTGTCCGATTTGGTCTTTGCGTATGATATTTCTTGCCTTTGCGATTGCAACTCTTGATGATTATTTTTTGTGGCTGTAGTGATGGGATACTGGTGATCGGTGATGGGCGATGGGTCATTTTTGTCCTTCGATGCCGGAATCAATCATCAACCCGCGTGGGAATTCTTAAAATTCAGGAGACTCGTCCCCGTACAAACAAACATGCACACCATCCATCTGCATTAAAGAACACATCGCGACCTCGGTTCTTCGACGATTTGTGTTGATGGACCAATAATTCGATTTCCTATCGAGCAATTGATATTCGATTCGAGGGAACGAGAAGCAGCACATCAAAAACAGCAGTCGTAAAAACATACAATTGTTCTTACTGGCTACGTGGGGTACGGCATCAGAGAATCCAATTGGTTGCTGTGCTTCGAAAAAGGAACCTTGGACATCAACGATGTGTGAGTGAGGAGTTCGGATTTTCCTAACGGATAGGAATATGATTTGTGATAGGTTTAGAGTTTAAACTACCACTGATGCATCCATACATATGTACCTCATGAACATATGGTTCTTACAACCGGCTAAGTGTCTCGTAGTCTTCATTTTGAGTGCGTCTGAATTCTGAATCCTCCTAAACATCATGATTTCCTGTCCGCATCCATTTGAGTCTTTTCTGTTGTTTTTTTTCCTACCGGTACTATTGCGCAGTAGCGCGCCAGCAGAACCACCGCGCCAGAATTTTCTGCACCTCCTTCCAATTGATCAGCGGCATTCTCGTCTCGGCATACAGTAGGGTAATGGTTCATTCACGAAAATTTATCCATATGTAATCTGGAGTCATTTTCACTGGTACTAAAGAAACGGCAGGCTCGGTGAAAGTCTCTTTTATGAATGTGGACTCCCATAAATTGCGTACGAGTACCAAGTACGGTACTTTACTCATGTGGCCACAAGATTCCAGTGGCGCCAAGTATGAGCAGTCTCCTCCTCCAAAACAGTCCTACTATCAATTCCCCCGTCACAGTAAAAAACACTACGCAACGACGAGTCGCATTCCTCCTCGTCCGAAATAGTCTCCATCCTCACTATTTGACTATTGATTCCTACTTCACAGCACGATGAACCCTAATATAATTTTATTTGCATGGGCGGCTTCCCTTGAAAAGAAAAAACAGTTGCTCCTTGAAATGGAAGAAGAGTTGGAGCAAGCAAAAATACCGGGCGAAATCCTCATCCCGGCGAACGTAAAAGGCCAGCCCTTCACGAAACGAGAAGTCTTGTCCTTGATGAAATCGATTGAAAAAGTCGTTCCCATCGAGTCTGAGCAATGGAATGAAGTTCTTGCAACCCATTGTAAGAAGTATCCCGGGAGGACGACGAAGTCATTCCAAAGGAAGTTGAAAGATCTGCAAGAAAAATCCATCTCTTCCGACGATCCGAATTGTCCCAAGGAGGTGAAGATGGCAAGAAGAATCCAGAGTATGATTGCTGAAAAGCAAAACGAAGAAAGAGATAGAGAAGTCGAACAAGTGAAGAAGAGATACAGGAGAGAAATGGAACATCCAGATTGTCCAGAGGATGTCAGAATGGCCAAGGAAACCTGGATCTTGATCGAGGAAAAGAAGAAACGTCTCCGTCTTCAGCAGCAGCAGAAGGAAAAGCGCGAGAAGGTTGTGGATGACGCCGCCATCACTAGCGTTCCGACGCTTGGTGGACGATCTCGGAATCAAGATCTTACTGTAGAACATACCACTACAGCCACACGGCCGGATGCGGAACCAAGAACCAGCACCAAAAGATCTTACTCTTCCATGTCATCCACCAGCAACGACAGCATTTCAATGATTGAGATGAAGAAAAAGGAGCTAGATAGAAGGATGGCTGAATATAATAATGAGCTATTTAGAATGATGATTGAGCACAACAAGGAGCGAGATAGAAGAAAGGCTCAACGGGAGGCTCAACGGGAGGCTAAAATGAAGGCTTTAATAAGAAAATTCAAGGCTGAATGGGTCGGAAGCGCGGAGGACTTCAATTTGATTCTCCTGTTCTTTGAGTTTGTCTCCTTGCTGTCTGGAATACCCCTTCCCAAAGAGTACAGATTGAACGCTTCTGATCGCAAGAAAGCATCTGAACGTCTTGCGACTTTGATCAAAGAGTTCATTCAAAAAATATGTTAAGTCTCTAGAAGTAACCTTGAATAATCGATATGTCTCAATCAATTCCCTGTTACGTATTGGCAATAATTTTGCGAGCAGTAAGAAACACTATCGACGAATCTTGCAATTCCCTTGTTATCCGAATTCTGAGTCGCACTTCCTGCTCTTTTCTTTCTCTTTTAGTAACTTGTAACGACTGCGCGTGTTGCATTGCATAGCGCAGTAAAATTTCAAGAGGAACCATTCGTCTATGAAAAAAAAGAGTATGAATTTTTAAATTTTCCAGAGGACTTTTTAACACGTATCGCAGGACAAAATACAGTATTAATAATACTGTATGTATGTAACTAAGGACATAAATTTATGTACCGAAAGACATACGGTAAATTTATGTATTTTGTGTTTTCGGGAACGATCAGAAGTGCGAGTGAGGAAGTGGAAAATTTAGATCATTTAGAATAACGGGAATGCTCTCGTAAACATATTTTCTGTTTTTAGTGTCTAGATTTGGTCTGGAATCCTTGACTAAACACCTTAGTCCCTCGAATCAGGTCTTCTCAACAGTTCCAACAGTACGATTACTGAAGCGAAGGGGACCCGTAGTTCGAAATTGTGTCCCTTTGATCCAAGATTCCATGTTCTGCCAAAACACGTTCTGCCCCCCAAACACGCGCGAGATCTGGGTACTAGCGCGCGTTCCTAGCGAATGTACGGTAAGCTACCGTAGAGTACGAATACTTCCTGTTTCTATCCAACCGTGCCAGCATTTTTCTTGGGTCTTCCTATCGGTGCACAGCAGATAAAGCGCACCACAATGGTGGCCTCTTGTAGCCTACGTACAGTATCGTACTGTACTATCTACCCCAAGGTATCCGAACTAGTATCGTGCGTACGAATAGTACAAAATTCAAACCGAGTCGAGAGAAATCAATCCGCTAGCAACTCCTCGACTGCTCATTTTCCATTTTCTCTCGAACCAAGAGGCTCTGCCACCTGTGTCTTTCGGCCGAGATAGATCTCTATCTCTTTACCGCTTGTCCTCTCCGACAACCTCCATTTTCCATTTTCTCTCGAACCAAGAGGCTCTGCCACCTGTGTCTTTCGGCCGACATAGATCTCTATCTCTTTACCGCTTGTCCTCTCCGACAACCCATCGCACCCACTGCTTTCGACGAACTGAAGTAGAAAACACGACCCGCAAGAGTTGCGAGAAAAGGCTCTGGCTACACCCTCTCGCTCACCTCCTGCTTCCGCATCGGATCGAATTCAATACAATCCAATCCAGTCCATTCCAATCGGGTCGGTTCTGGTCCAGCCGCTTACATGGTCGCCGCGGATTTCCGTCCCTGTCACTGCACCCGCGGTAATTCCATCGCGGCTTCGCGCCCGGTCCCCTAGCCGCGCAAAAGACACCCGGTCCCGCGGAAGGACGCACCACCGCACCCCTCGGAAACAAGMCCCGCCAGAACGGCCATGCCGGGACCCCCGGGCCGCTCCCGCGGGCGACAGGGACCTCCCGTCCTGCTCAACGTTGCCGAGAAGCCGTCGGTGGCGAGGTCCCTGGCGGCGGTCTTTCACAATATGCCCGGCGCGAGGGAATCGGAGCCGATGCGGCGGGAGGCGGCCCAGATTTTCAGGCACGAGAACGTGGTCTTCCGGGACGTCTTCTCGCAGGCCAACGGAGGCAACAGCAGCGGTGGCCACAACCGACCCCACAAAATGATCACCACATCGGTCCGGGGCCACCTGGCGGGGATCGAGTTCGGCCCCGAATACGGCTGGAGTCGGTGCGATCCGATACAGCTCTTCGAGGCACCCCTCGAAATCGTCTACCGGGACGACATGGTTCCCCTCCGCCGAATGCTGACCAACCTCGCCAAGAACGTGGACGGCCTGGTCCTGTGGCTCGATTGCGATCGAGAGGGAGAGGCCATCGCCGACGAGGTCCTCAGGGTATGCCTCGAATCCAATCGCCGTCTGGAGCCCTACGTCTACCGAGCCAAGTTCTCGACCGTTCTGGGGCCCGAGATTCTCCGCGCCCTGGGAACCCTCGGCCGGATCAACCACCATTTCGTGCAGGCGGTCCAGGCGAGGTCGGAGCTGGATCTGCGAGTAGGCGCGGCCTTCACGCGCTTCCAAACCCTGCGGCTGCAAAAGAAGTTCCAGCTGCCGGGGGCCGGGGAGGACGGGAGGGGCGCCGGCGTCGTGAGCTACGGGCCCTGCCAGTTCCCGACCCTGGGATTCGTGGTGGAGCGGTGGGCAAGAATCGAGATCTTTGTGCCGGAGGATTTCTGGTTCCTGGAGCTGACCCTCAGGGTTCCGCGGCAGGCGGGAGCGGCCGACGATGGTCGTGGAAGCGGTGGCGGCCGCGGGGCGGGCAACGATTCCCGTCCGATTGCCTTTGCGTGGAAACGCCAGCGCTTGTTCGACCGTTTCGCAACCCTGGCCATCTACGAATCGTGCCTGGACACCGAACCGTGCGTGGCCACCGTCACGAGGCTCGAGGGACGCCCAAAGAACAAGTGGCGACCGATTCCCCTGGCGACCATCGAGCTGCAGAAACGAGCCTCGCGATACCTCAGGATCGGGTCGGAAACACTCATGTCGGCGGCCGAGGAACTGTACCAGAAGGGACTGATCAGCTATCCGCGGACCGAAACGGAGCGCTTCCGGCCCGAATTCGACCACCGGGCGCTGATCCGGGACTTTTGCACCCTCGCCGACGCCGCCGGTCCCTACGCGTCCTACGCCAACCACTTGCTGAACGAGAACGGATTCCAGAATCCCCGGGCGGGGCAGAACGACGACCAGGCCCACCCCCCGATCACTCCGTGCAAGGTTGTCGACCCGGCTACGATCCAGGACCACACCCAGAGAAACGTTTACGTTCTAGTGGCGAAGCACTACCTGGCATGCTGCTCGAGGGACGCCATCGGCCGGGAAACCTCGCTCACCGTCAGGATAGCCTCGGAGGAATTCACCGCCAAAGGACTCATGATCGAACAGAAAAACTGGCTGGAAATCTACCATCCGTGGGAACGCTGGTCGACGGGGCAGGGAGAGCTCCCCCACGTGATGGTAGGAAGCAGGATCGCTCCCCATTCCTTCGTCATGAAGGAGGGGCAAACCACGCCACCCCTGCCGATTTCGGAGCCGGAGCTGATCACCCTCATGGACAAATCCGGAATCGGAACGGACGCCACCATTGCAACGCACATTGCCACCATCCAGGATCGAGATTACGCCACCAAAGACGGGAACCAGCGGTTCTTGCCCACGCCCCTCGGGATCGCACTGGTGGAGGGATACAACAGCATGGGCTACCAATTGAACAAACCCGATCTGAGGAGAGAAACGGAGCACGAGTGCAACCTGGTGGCGAACCGCCAGAAAACAAAAGAGGAGATCGTTCCCCTGATACTCAACAAAATGAAAGACGTCTACCTCACTGCTGCCAGGGAAGCCCGCAAACTCGACCAATCCATGGCGAGACGCTTTCAGCGGATAGGAGCGGGGAACGACCACACAGAACTGGTGCAGGCTCGATTCAGCCAGTGCGGCAATTGCCAGCAGCCAATGTCTCTCAAACAAGAACGTCGGACCGGTGGTCGTCGGAGAGGCGGGGGGRACAACAACAACAACGACACGCCGCGAAAGCTGCTGTTTTGCAACGCGTGCCAAGAAGGCTACATCCTGCCCCGCAAGGGGATACCCCGTCCGAAGATATCGGAGGGAGAGACCAACAACAACAACAACACACCGGTAAAGTGTCCCATTTGCAACTTCCAGGTCGTTGCTATTGCGAGGGGTGATGGCTACGAGGGCAACGGATACAACGTTTGTCCGAAGTGTTACAACGACCCACCGGCAGATCACGGCGGAGGTGGCAGCGGCGGAGGAGGCGGAACCCATCCCTGTTTTTCGTGCTCGCATCCAGCGTGCGCGCTTGCCGGGGGAACCCAGGGGGGCGACATCGAGGTGTTTGCGTGTCCCTTTTGCCGAGAAAAGAACGTGCCAGGCGGAAAAGTCACCCTCCGCAAAAACTCGCGGGGGTACGTCCTATCCTGCGCCAACTATTCGGGCCGGCAGCGGTGCAGCTACACCATCTGGCTGCCCCGCGCCAGCCGGAGCATAGAGGTTCCGCCGGGGGAGGAACACGTCTGCACTCGCTGTAGCACGCACTCGCCCGTGCGGAAGCTGGCCTTTCAGTGGAAACCCGGCGGGGTTCTCCCACACCTGGGAAGGGAGACCACGGCGTGCGTCTTGTGCGATGCGCGATTCCGGCAGGACGTCCAGATCAACCTGCCCCAGATGGATCGGGTCGGGACCACCAGTCGCCGGACGGCTTCGCTCAGACCGAACCACCACGGCAACGGACGGAACAACCATGGGGATCGGGCCCGTTCGGCAACCACAAATGCTGGAAACAACAACTTTGTTTGCTTTCGGTGCAATCAGCCGGGACACTATGCGAGTGCTTGTCCAAACGCGAACAATCAGTGATGGTTTAATACGCCCCCGCTTTGTCGATAACAAAGGAACGGAATGGACGGCCCCAAACGAATAGATAAAACTAGACTGTAGATTTAGATAGACATTTGTTTCTGTTTGAAGCATTTTCTGCTTCGAGCGTTTGATCTCAGAGCTCAGAATCGTACGCCTTGCCCCCTCCAGTATTGCTCTGTCCTGCTTCTTTTATTACTGGACAAACCAATAAGCCTGGATACCCAAGACCCCCCGCTCCCATTACATAAAACTCACCCATTTTCAACCCGTTCGAAATAGCATTGAGTTTCGAGCTCGATATTATTTCCCTCGCTTGCCACGATGATGTCTGTGGATCGAAAGCCAATTCCATTATGCCAGAGGTCGACTGTTCGCTTTCGGCCGGGAAAGGGTGCACGAACACGGTGTACCACAGGTTGTTGATGGTCCCGCCGTAAACATTCCCCGACACCTTATCGAACTTGAGATTGTCCACAAAATTCGGAACGTCGATGGTCGTCCGATTTTGCAGCTCGTTGGAGGACGCATCCCTGTCAAACACGTTGATCGTGAAATAGTCCCCAACGAAAATCTTTGAGTAATCTTCGTTGTGGGTGATTCCATTCGCACCGATGAATTGGTCGGCGACCTTCCGACAGTCGAGAGACCCCGACTCATCGTCGTATTCGCAATACCACACATAGGTACCCCTTTTCCCAAACACCAGTGTTTTGAATCTTTCAATGTCAATGTTCCTTTCAAAACTCAACCACCCGTCGTGGCGCTCTGGTATAGGGAGGTATTGTGTCACGTAAAATTTGTTCTTCTCGACTACAATCAAAGAATTGAGAATACCATGCATATCGTTGTTCATCCAGTCGGATGTAATGCTATATTGATAATCTAGGCGATTCGGAATGTCGTTCTCTGTGTCATCGTCACCATCATCCGCGGTTCCAACTCCAAACACATCGATTCTTTCTCCGCCATTTTCGTACGCGTGATTGATGACATAGAGCGTGCTATCCTCTTTCCGAATGTACATCCCATGGGGATGAAAATCGATATTCTCTGGATAATTAAAAATCGGAAGCTCTTGGATTTTGAGGTTGTTCTCGACGAATTCTTGGGCACTCTTTGCCGTAGTACCTTGCTTGAATCCACTCGACACGTATAATGCTCCGGGTGGTTTCTCTTCTCCCGGGTGGTATCCCGTAGCTCTCCATTCTGTCATAACGATGGAATTGCTGTTGAATTGGGTCTGGTCTTCTGAGGCTCCAATAGACATGACCTTGACGCAAGCTTCGTCGTGGTGCACAGAGGGTTTCTCAAAAAAGTCGAGGAACGTCAGGATTTCGTGCACCTTGGCAACGCAGCAATACGCCGCAATACAGACGCCGATGGCGGTGATCGGGTGATAGAGACCTTTCATGTCATTGATTCCGGTAGGTTGGCTTAGTTTTTTGCGGTAGTGATGTGAAACAAAAGGTATGCTGAATATGCCTTCACTGGTAGTCAATAGAAGAATTGTTTCTTGCTTCGTCTGTTGTACGTTGTACTTCACCTTTGATGAACGATGTTTCAAAAAAATTAAAAAAAATACACTATGATACTTAAACGTTGGACCATTAACCCATTTCCTTGTTTTACAAACGACATAAACTCATTTCCTTGCATATTTCCGTTTTTAGTGAATTGTAAACTCATTTCCTTGCATTCGGCCATTTTATAAACTCATT